CCGAACAGCTCACCTTTAATACTTTCTCCACCACTTCCTACGTCGTGGACCTGCTTCCTTCCCTTCCAATAGCATTTTAGGATTGCAGATACCTTAATCTAATCGTCATAAACAGTTCTCCAGACTGCTCACCTTTATTACTTCCTTCACCACTTCCTACGTCAAGGACGTCAAGCTAGTGTCGTCATTTGATTATATTTATGATCCATACCGTTGCTGTTCTAATATCTGTGGAATAATGCCATCAGCTATTTCTTTATCTACTGCATTCAAAAGTCAACAGCTGATCATATGTCTTTGTTTATGTGTCAAATACTGCTTCCATAAGGATTACATTGAAACTTTGAGACCCAGTGGGGCGGATTCCTGAGAGACATTTTTAACGCCATATAGATGTTGGCACTCACCGATATGGTCTTTATCACCATACAAAATTTGAAAACGATTGATTCAGCCGTCTAGGAGGAGTTTGCGTATTACGAAATGCATAAGAGTCGACGTATAAGAGCTTCGCTCGCTTCGCTCGCTCCGCTCAATAATGGTTATAGCGAGGATAAAACACAATTATTCCTTAGTAGATTTCTCATCCTTATGGAACAGCTGAAACCAATTTTATTGTTAGTTCTGTATGGTGCACTGTAGAGGTCAAGTTTTGTTTACAATTTGTTTCTTGTCCTTTCAGTCTTTTAAAATCTCGTTTAACCAAATAAAACAATCCAACCATAAACAACAACTCTTTTCCTAGTTATATAACCAAACAGTAAAGCACAGATCATGAATTTGCCCCAAAAATAATAGAAATAAAATTTCGTCGACACTAGCGATCAGTGTCACAACATGAACTGGACTCGAAAACGAGCTTCAAAATTTTGCAATGGGATGAGAAGTAATTTAAAATGTGTTGGTTAATCCGTTGCTGTACCTTACTTTTTTACCCAAAAGATAACAGACGAATAGAGTTGCTAACAAATTAAGGGTCCCTGTTAAGCTTCGTTTGTGTAAGCCGGATTAAATAATAATAGGTATTTTTTTAGGATTTGGGGGTTCCCATGCGAGAAAATTCCTGAATTCAGTACAAAGATATAAATAACTCATACTAAACAATTTGCTATTAAATTAGCTGGTATTATTGTTGTAAATAGTGTCTTTACAAATATTTTTTTCGTTCATCCTTAATAATTCCTAAAAATGCACCAATAATAGATGCATCGAGACAAAGATGTATAGTTATTTAGACTGAATGATAACATCCAAAACCAAAAGAAATCAACAATATTAGAGTTTTCATCGAAAGCTATCCTAGTTAAAGGCCATATAAATATTTAAGTTTCATCAAAGTAAACATGGGGCCAGAATTCAATAAAACATTTGAATGGCACGTTTTCGCTCCCTGATCAGACCACATCATTGCTTTGCTTTTGGCTCCAACTCAAGGCCATATGACCAACTATTCTCATGAATATTCAACAAAACCTCTTTCCTGAATCCTGACAAGTTTCTGGATCATAAACTACTCAAGATGTTACCAAACAAGTATTTGTTTATGAACAAAGTTGGCCCATCCGTTTTAGGGCAAATTGGATCAATGCTTGGTTGTTTTGATAATTTTCAATGACAGATTGTTCTACAGTATAATTATTTCACAATGCACATTATATTGGAAAGTACTTAGTTATTACAGCATTATTGGTCTAGGACCCATTGCCCAAGTTGGTTTTTAGTTTTTTGTAACTTAAAGGTTCAATTCCATATTTGCATCATTATTTATGTTTGATTCTTAGCTAATGATGATGTCTAGATTTCAAAAGCTAGAATAACGAAAACACCTCATAACATATATACTGATGATTGATAGCTCAATGTGTACTTATGATTAAAATTGCCATTAAAATAAATTGTACAACACAACAATTATTATTATTTACTTTGGATATAGCAAGAAATAATTGCCGGCCTATTAAGCATCTATCTATATATTAATAGGCAAGCATTTTTCTTTAAAACCTTTTTTCTCAGCTTGTGTGCGTCATAGGAAAAATCTATGCATACTGTTAGAAAGATATTTTCCTGTAGGTGTGCAGAATCCCATTATAAATTAAAATAGGCTCAAAGATAAGCACAAAAAATTAATTTGAAATTAACAAAAAATTAACATGGGCTTTATGGGTTGCCATGATGGTGACGAAATAACAACAAAATATAAACAGAAAATCAAAACAAATTCCAATCACATGTTTTATTTACAGAGTGGGGTGAAAAATAGAGAAGTATGTAGAGTGCAATTGGATTTTTTTAGCTAGAAGTGGTTAAAGCTGTGGTGGAATATCTTTGAAGATGGACCTTTTTAATACGGTCGTGTGTTCATACGTGTCAAATCAAAACAAACAAACTGGCATAATATATTCTTGGAATTTGACATACTTATCTATCTATATATCAATAGGCAAGCATTTTTCTTTAAAACCTTTTTTCTCAGCTTGTGTGCGTCATAGGAAAAATCTATGCATACTGTTAGAAAGATATTTTCCTGTAGGTGTGCAGAATCCCATTATAAATTAAAATAGGCTCAAAGATAAGCACAAAAAATTAATTTGAAATTAACAAAAAATTAACATGGGCTTTATGGGTTGCCATGATGGTGACGAAATAACAACAAAATATAAACAGAAAATCAAAACAAATTCCAATCACATGTTTTATTTACAGAGTGGGGTGAAAAATAGAGAAGTATGTAGAGTGCAATTGGATTTTTTTAGCTAGAAGTGGTTAAAGCTGTGGTGGAATATCTTTGAAGATGGACCTTTTTAATACGGTCGTGTGTTCATACGTGTCAAATCAAAACAAACAAACTGGCATAATATATTCTTGGAATTTGACATACTTAATCTACTTTAATAAAATCACTTAGTCATTAGCTAATCATTAGAGAATATTATCCAAATCAACCAATGAATAAATTGCTATTTAATTATTGCCTTTAAATTAAGTGATGGTTAATTGCTTTGAAAATAATGAAATGACATATTTATGGTCGAGTTTCGACCACTGGACGACCTCTAGTTAGTTATTAATATGAAGCATTAATGTGTGTTTATAGTCTGGTAAGGTTTGGTGGTGATAGAAACAAGGCTAAGGATAAATTTTATCGTCGGTACTTTTTTCTATTTGATTGAAATACCAAATGAGTTTTTTTATGAAATAATGAGGAATACATCAAACTATAAAGTATATTTAACTTACATACTGAGCAGAAATACCTTTAAATGGTATTCAATCGAATGATAAAAATTAAAAGTCCAGAAGACGAGTACGGTATGTTAATAGAAACACATACAATTAATTTTAATTGAATGTTAAGAATTTAAGCAATTTTAAATCAATTAATCAATCAATTATTTAAGATGGAGACGCCACTATGTGCATATTTTAACCCAAATATGAGCGAAATTTTATTCTTAAAGGGAATTTAATATTGGAAAAGTTAAGTCATTGATACTTTTACTAAGAGAAAATAAGTGGAAAAAGTTGTTGACTTCAGAGATACATTCGTTTAAGACCCATCAACTATAGGTACAGTACTTCTTTAATTGATATTTTGTTTTATGTTTGCTCACCATCAATAAATATGTTCTCAACCTAAGATAAAGCCTATTAATTTTTAATGCTGTGCCTCTTAAGGAAGTTTACTACACCTTTAACATTACAGTACCTGAATATAAATCCTTATCACGACAACGTTCAACATAGTAAATTTTGTTATTCACTTTACAATCTAAATATTTCTCACAACTTTGTTGTTAAAAACAACTGGTTCAATCTAGTCTTGAATAGCAAGTATCATAAACATTGATAAACATGGTTAACTATCTATTCAACAATGAAATTTTTTTATAAATTTTATTCATGGTGATTGAGGATTGTGGTTTTAATATTGGGAAAATTTAAAACATTTTTATTGTTAATCTGTAAAATAACTGTTGAGTTATATTTAATTACAAAGTATCTCAGTGTCTTGAAAACTGTTAACATTTTTCATAGTATGAGCAATGAAGCACTATGTGTACATTGTGAAGGACGAACTGGATTCATTGTGATTCAGTAAATGCATTGCACAAACTTAGGAAACGGGAAATAAGAGCTAATCCTACCATTGCCTAAACCAGAACCTCTTTGTGAGTAAGCAAGTAATCTACAATTGCCCAACAACATTTTGTGAGTCAGTAGAATTAAAATTACGTTGAGCAAAATAGAGACAGATTTAGATAACGTTTATTAGCAGTTTAGCATAGCTGCTGATTTGTTTACAATTACACATTCTACTAGCTGGTCTGTAATTTAACAGCTGATAATGACATTCATTGTTTTGGCTAATGACTTAGCATTGCTTAAACAGTCTACTATGGGTTACTCATTCTAAGCCACCTTTACATCATATGGTTTAAGTCAAAGTTTACAACAATCCAATGCCAGCTATATTAGGCCTACGGTATATTTTTCAATTTTCAATTAATTTTATAGGACAGAGTGTATCCTTAGGTATCTCATTCTTAAGTTTTAATGGTCTTATCTTCCATAATACAGGAAGAAGTATCCAGCATTGGCAGCATTATTACCACATAGCGAATGGTATAAATTTGTGATTGACACTGTTTAAAAGAAATCTGTGACCAAACATCTAATGAAGTCTAATCTTAATATGATACACTTTGACTTTCAAACTACCAATACAAGTATGTAGAAAGGTGCAGAAAAGAAGTTTGAAGTTACATTCTAGGGGAAGCAAGCAGTAGCGGTTCTAGGACCTTATCAAGAGGGGGCTGCTACCGCGGGTGGGGGGGGGGGGGTGTAGGTAGGAGGTCTTCCCCTTTGGAATCACCACTGCAAGCAAGGTGCAATAAAAAAAACCTTATAAGGTCATAGAAAAGTTATGAACTTAGCATAAACAGAGGTAGAGATGGTAGATTACAACATTGGTATTATTATCATCAACTCTGTTTCAGAGGCGCAGAAGTCCAAGCGAAGTTCGCTCTACGGGCCTCTCCGAGTAGCCAGGCTATGTGTACTGAGTATCATAGTACCTGGCCTACTGCTCAGCATACCACTGTATATGAGGTACAATGTGTACATACAACAAGCCTACCCTGTGGGTATGAGTGATGTGAGACTATTGGATAACAGGATCTCTACTTTGTGGTGTCAGGTGAGAACTAGATTAGATTTGTAGGGTGGGAACACACCATCAGGATATGTTTTCGAAGGCGGCTCCAGACGTGCCATCCGCCAAGCACCGAGCAGTAACTCACCGAATCGGGAGTAGTAAGTGTGGATAGGTGTTTGTCTATTTGGCAAGCAGCAAACATTCGTGCTTGTGTTTTCCCGTTCATTGTCGTTATTTTTGCACACATCAAAGTGAACGAATATTTGATATTCCCGAAACGAACAGTTGCTTGGAAAACAACACATGTGTGTAGACATCTAATCGTTAATCGGCAAATAGCAAGACAACTAGATCGCCGAACGTCAAACATTTCATTCTTGGCGAATGGTGCACGTCTGGAGCCGCCTTAAGGCCAAGAACTAATGTTGAATGAGATGACTGGTATGCTAACGACTACAATCAGCAGTGTTAGCCAGTTATTAAAAGACCAAGGTGAAATATTGAGTATAGTTGTGAATTGGCTTTTTATGGATATTGGCAATTTGTTTGAAGTTTGAAGATTTGTTGTACATTAATTTGAAATTTTATTTGAATGAATATACAGTGTTCGACAATTCAACCGAATTGAGCTGGTTTGATCCTTAGAAAAGAGAAAAGCAGAAGAGATGTTTGTTAGTTTGAAATTAGACTCAGCTGTCCTTGCTATTATTGATCATTTAACAAACTGTACTAGCCAAAGAACCAGCTTAATGTTCTTCTTCTTTCTTGCCTAAATACACACCAATGGTTCTGAGCTAATCAATAATGCAAGAAACTTATGATAAGTGGATTGATATAGAATAGATTACTTTACATAGAATAATGATAGAATCCTTTTTGAAATAAGATTTGCAGCCGTGCAAACAAAAAAAAACAAAAACAAACAAAAGCATAATGGTTTTACAATTCTTGTACACCCTCGGTTTAAGATGTATGCCTCCACTTCTCTTTCTCTTGGACCCAAATCTCCATCTTTTCACGTCCCAGTTTAATATTGCGGAGGTATCGTCTTCAAAGTCATCCTCCAAATTGGTCCTGGTTGTTTATACACGTCCTGCTAACCTTACTACAATACGATACTGCAATTACAATTTTGAAACAATATACTGTCACATCTGGAACTGGTGTGATGGAATAACCAATGTGGTTAGTTTATTTGATCAGGCCATATGACGTGTCATTTTGTATAACATCTAACGGTACATGGATTAAGCTAGCAAATTTAATACAAGTACCATGAGAATTACAAATCGAGAAATATACAATTAATTTAAAGTTAAAGTTAATACACTACAAATAAAGAATGTAGCCCACTGTAATTCCTTCTTTGTGGTGAAATTAAAAAATCAGATTTCACAATCTATTAAGTTTTAAATTGTATTGTTTTATAAAAGTGTTAAATGGTTCCAGCGTCAAGTGGTGTGGTCAAATGCAACGTTTAACGCCTACCTCATGTCAGAACAGCCAGAGATGAGGCCGGACACTGTGAAAGTTGCGATGACTCGACATCTAGTGTTGGAAGATGACATGAAGGAGTATTGGGGATTCTACCTGCTAAAGGGCTCCACAGTCACGGTGTCTACTTGTGTGAGGTGGGTGTAGTATTGGAATAAATGGAGGGACAACTTTAAACTTGCAGATACATTTTTATGTTTGAGATCTTATAATTTAAATTATTGAATCAACTATGAGACAGGATACTATTAAACTTATTTAGATTTAACAGAAGATTTATCTAAAACATCAATTGCAGAGATATCGTATCAGGCTATGAGAAAAGAATCTTGAAGAAAGTTCATACAGTAAAACTTTCACAAAGTGAAAATAGTTTAAGATTAAATGTAGCATTTTAAAAGAACAACTTTGTAAAGATTATGCTATAAAAACATTCAAAACCAGTAAACCATTATTAGAGAGAAACAAAAGTAACTATTTAATTTTTTTTAGTAATTGGAAATTATAGAATTCACTGTCTTTTGTATTTTTTAAAACTTTATTTTGAGTTTACCTGCTATTTTTTCAGTTTGTAAATTTTGCTTAAACAAATTTGTACTGAAAGACTAGACAATAATGTAATGAATAAACTAAAATAAATAATGCCTCAAATTCTGAATAAGGCCTATGCAATAGAAGAAAAGTTGCGAGCCTTGAAAAAGGTGTGATTTGTTACTTATTGAGTCTCTCACTTTCTAATTACATGTTAAAGCTAGAAGAGAGTAAGAATAGGTTATGGATGGTTGCCAAAAACAAACTAATTGATACTAGAAGATGTAAAAAGTACCCTGGCTATTAGAAACAAATCTAAATAGCATCTTATAACACAATAATGATAACTTTTTACAGGTAGTTAAGTTGCAAAAATAAAACCTAGGGCCTACTAATGTAAAATTTGACCATATGGGTAATATTGTTTTTAATTGGGCAATCAATCACCCATCAATATTTCAGATGGCCGGGAGCCAGCCTCATCATGATCCGTGGTCACAAACACCTCAAACAATGTGCCTATATCGGTGACGACTCATCCGAGGAACTAGACGAGCTGTTTGAAGGCGACGGAAACAACTCTGTGTCAGCTGACTACGACATCTCAAACAAACCAACCAGCATGAAGAAAGTGAGTGACGGAATCTTCATTGATCAGAAGACTGAAGAACACATTGACATCTCATCCCAATCACATCATCATAGACCACCTCACTCGGCAGTAGTGGAGGAGGCGCTGAAGAATAATTGGAAAGTGGACAACAAGAAAGATCAGAATGTACACTTGGTCTACGCAGAACAGCTTATCAACCCGAAGAAAACAAAAGACAAAGAGGAATACAAGATCAACCCGAATGTGGTCAACATTCCTGCAACTACGACAGAAAAATCAAAAACCTCGGGAGAAGTATACAACGAAATGCTGGAGCAGCTTAAGAAAATGGGTCCGAAAGGTAAGGTGATGCTGGACCAACTGAAGAAGAAACTGAGCGAGGAGGTAAAAACTAATGTGACTAAGATTAATGCTACGGAGGAAACTTCTGAGAAGCCTTTAGAGAAGGAAACCATGCTGGATAAGTTGACAAAAATCAATCCAGCGAGTAATAAGAATGATCTGAAGAACAAAAAGCGAAGGAGAAGAGAAATCCCAACGCCCTCCAAAACGGTTTCACAATTGCAAAGACACGATGAAGCTGCTGACCATGCAGGAGAAGAAGGGGTAATAGTTCATTAAAATTTATTTTTCTAAAATGTAAAACTTTTTTACTTATGAAAGAAACGTGAAAAAAGTCATGGGTCAGATTTATTTTCAGGATGAAATATTTGTAATGGGTTTACTTCACTATTTTACATAATTTTTGGGAATTTCCCATAAAGGGAATAAGCGATTACCATAGGTCTCATGTGATATCTAGACGGGGGACCGATTTAATCTTAATTTTTTCATTAATCTTAAATAGAAACACCTAATCTTGGTCAGTAACAAAGCTAGAGATCATCTCACTCCATTCAACACTCATCTTGCACTCAAATATTAAGCTTAAAATTTGCATGGTGGCAATGCTATCAATACTTTCTTGTATTTAGATTGCCACTAAAATAAATTTTTAGTGTACGACGATATTTATTACTAAACATTATTGTATTTTTTTTAATTTACTGTAATTCTAACTCTGATTTCCATTGAAGGTAGAGCATCAGCCCGATGGCGTGGCGGAAATCCGAGGTCACTTTAACCAGTCAACTCCTAACGACACGTCCAAGAGCGAGTACTGGTCCTCATTCTCGTCAAGTGAGGAGAAACTTCTCGAGTGTGAGGGGCTCCTGCTCAACCTCCCCCTCACTCCTCACCCTGTGTGTGAAGCTCACAGACCTGAGAATGTTCTCGCGAGGGCTGCCAGTATCAACACAGTTTCGTACAAGTGAGCATTGTCTAAATTAATCAGTATATAATCAATAGTAACGTTGACTTTGGGAACTAAAGTAGACTGGGAAGCGAGATGGTCTAGTGGTAGAGTGCGGGGTTTGGTACTTGATCTCTATTACAATGTCTATTTACTTTCAAATCTATAAACATAAAGAGTTTTAAATTGAATATTTTTCCTGAAATTACTACAAGCACTCTCTTATCTAACTGTTGATAAGCACTAAGAAGTGGCTTGTTTGTTAATTATTGAGAGATAATTCTCTGTATCAAAGACCATTTGATTTGACCAACCTCTAAAAACTAATTTGGTCTATTAATAACTCGAGTAGATAAATTTTATGGATATACAATTTTACTGTGAATCACGCGTAGCACTTTTATTAGCCGAAAGAAATTTGAGAGTTTTGCTGTTCCCAAGACTTAACACGTTGACTGCGCGTGCCGACTTTAGTCGGCGTCGCCAGCGCTCCCAGGTGGCGCGCGCCGACTAAAGTCGGCAGTCGGCACCAGACCAACAGAAATATATTGAGTCAGTGTGAGCTTAGCCTCAGACGGAGACGTTATAATCGTTGCCAGCCTGCCAGCTTAGAATGCGAGCTTTACTTTGGTGTAGGTTGGTACTAAAATTTCCCGTAAAATCCTGTCTGGCAATGCTTTTGTCCCGGTTTCGGGGATTTTTTCTCTTCAACCCACATTACAAAGACACTGGATACGGATCCATGCAGTGCTGCTACCTTTGGGTGTTTCAGTGAACTACATCCACTCTCGGGGTAACGCAGCACAGTCACCACTGCTCTTTTGTGATTCGTCAGACTGAAATATTTGAATGCCAATTGCGTTCGCTGATTCGGTTGCGCGCCGGGGCTTCGCCCGCCACTGGGGAGCGCCTGTAAAGTCGGCGCGCGCAGTCAACGTGTTAATAGCTTTAATTTTTAAGCAATACATAACAAGCCCTAAGACCCAAGAAACCGGAAGTAAAGAATGAAAGTAAAATCCGTTCTATTCAAGTTTTGAAGGTTTAAAAAAGCATTACTTTATATAGGCCTGGTTTTCACTAAAATAATATTCTATTTACTATGTAGACAAAATTATGTTTATCCCAATTGTATTGGTGCAAGCTTTTTGTATGTAACATTTTTTATCTAGACTACATACATTTTTAGACAGGGTTAAGAGATATACTTAAAAATATTTTATCATTCATTTGTTTATTGATGTATTTTTATATAAAGTCTGGCAGAGCGCAACAGTAAATCATGAAAGCTTAAAAAATAAAGATACAAGAACATTAAAACTAAATTTAGGTCATAAACGCTGAATTTAGCATTATATCTTGTTAATAATTTTTGATGCTGCGAAATTAATTCAACAGCCGGTGTACTTCTCATGGCCTTGATTACCTTAAACGTGACAACGATATTATTATCACTAGATTAAGCATAGTCTCTAACACGTGCTTCATAACTTTATCAGCAGTCTTAATTTTTTAGCTCGCCTACTTAAAAGTTGCAGCTGTGCTAAGATAAAGTTATAAAAGGGTAAGAGGACTTATTGTATTTGTAATCATGTATTTAATTTAAATGTAAAAAAGTTAGATCTTTTAAAAACAGAATATCAATATTTGTATCTTTAATCTTTATCTATAACATTGTTGGATAAAGAGGTATTTAATACTGTGTGATACAGTACCAACCCGACCACATTCCACAGCACTTCCATTATCCAGATGTTGTTATGACAAATTTTAACAAAAAAGTTTATATGAAACTATAATATTGACCGAGTGTCTAACATCTTTCATAACTTCGTCATTTTAAGGTGGTTTTTATGGGGAACACGTTAATGAAACATACAAATTTAAACTAAGAGATATATTTTAGCCTATCCTTATTTTCAATTTGAAACAAATGGATAAACATTTTTCATATCAGATTTGGGTAACTGAGTGGTTACTGGTTATAGTGCTTGCTGTACAATTAGAAGGTCAGTGGTTCAATCAAGAGATTAAGAGGACTTTTTGTGGCTGGAAATTTTAGCCAGCTGTCCTTAATAATAAAACAGCATATCTTATTTAGCAACAAAGTGCATCTAACCAAGGCCCTACTAGAAAAACAGGCCATGCTGAAGGATCCATAACGTCACACTAGAGGATAAATTCACTGCAATATCCCATATGCTTTAGGTAAATAAGCGGCTGTTTGTCAGATATAGTAAGATTTTATTACAAACTATCCACCACTGTGACGGAGTGTTGCGCTGCCCGCACTGCAGCATGGCCTGTTTTTCTAGTGGGGCCTTGATTTAACTGATCTTCCATTCTAGGTGTGAACATTATTTCCCCTCAGTAATGTTGTGGATCCAACAATTGCTATAAGTGATGTAGAAAAAATCAAATAAGATGTCCCACCTGTCTTTCTCTACTTAAAACAAAACCATATTGATATTTTGTTTTTTGGTTAGACCTTTGACCAGGTCTTCAAAAACATGAGGTGGTTTTTAGGGAAATATTAAAAGGCCTCCATGACAATCGAATTAAATTAAATGTTAATTTAATCATTATACATTGAGATTATTATATAAACTGTGATATATTCTCTTATCTGTGGTGAAGCTGTTTTTCTTCTGTAGCTTTAAGTAAAGAAAACATGATCATTTGTCGGTAGTATCATGGGCTTCGGGCCCAAGGCAGTGATGTGGTGGGTTTGGATCATGAAAATTCTACTTTTTATCAGTACAGTTCACGCTTGTACTGTGATGGCTCACCCCTTGCTTTGCTGGATACGTTCCATGCACAGGTCCATAGCCTATGTGGACAGGCAAATGCAAGGTTAAAAGAGGCTGCCAACCTCTTAAAAAAAATAACATTTTTTGTTCTGTGGTCACACTTTAAAGCACAGGCAAAGCTAGTTCTGTTCACTTGTAATCTATCGATACACTAGACATTCCATTGTGAGCTAAAACAACCTTTTATGTAGGGATGGACGAGATTGGATTTTTAGTTCGAGACGAGACGAGACGAGATTTTTTATTTCTCATAAAATTTCGAGACGAGATTGAGACGGGATATCCCTTCTCACACACAACGGGAAATGCACGTTCAAAATTTTTACCTGATTTTGTAACATTGTTAGATGACTGTTTAAATACAAAAATAATGATAATAGGCAAGAATATTTACAATCTTTTATTAAAAAACATCAGCATAACATTTTTTTATTAATCACGCCTAACTTATTAAAAATGCCTACGATGAGGAAACATAGTGATATCAGTTAGGATAGAGTTCAACTTATCCTAAAATAAAATAAATCATATAATAAAAGCAATATTAATTTTTATAAAATAGTTACTTGTTTTGACTTTTTATAGTAATAAAACATTCCTCACACTGCTTACACTTAACAAAACTTCTCAAATGTTATTAAAGTAATATTATTAAAATAATTAAAGTAATATTTACATTTAAAGAATTAATTAAATAAGAACGCCTTCGCTAAGGAAACGCAACTACAACACGCTCCTGTATTGCGGGTATTGCATTGACTTTCTGCAGGCGTTTTTAATTTTTTTTTTTTTTTTTTTTATTCTCGTCTCGATAAAAATCTCGGCCAAAAAGAAATCTCGTCTCGTGTAACGAGATTTAAAATTTCCCGAAAATTTCCCGAAATTTTGAGACTTGACCATCCCTACTTTTATGACCTATCAACTATGCCAGCAAAAAATAAGGTAGAAAATAACATTTTAGACACTAGCGCATTTTGTAACTAAATTACACAACTGTTCTTTTTTAATAAAAAACTGGCGACGGGTGGTCCATAATGATCGGATGTTCACTCCAGTATCCAACAGTCAATACTTGTAACTTTAAGTTCCAATTAATTCAGGTTCTTGAAAGTTTATGTTCTATTTCAGAGTTCCAAGCAACGGATATTACTTCTTTGTCTTCAACAGCGAGAACGAGGTTCAGCCGAACTTTCTGAGCATACATTTCCGTCTAGAGAAGACCACTTACAATGTGTCCAACGCAGTTGCTTCCTGCCGCAACCAGACTGGGTCATGTTCCTTGCCTCTTAGGTTCTGGTCCAAGGATAAGGTAAGATTCTAGGATGAGGATAAGGTAGAATTCTGACCCAAAAGATATTCAACAAACATAACTAAGAATTTTTGCCTGATACTGTCACTGCATGTACAGTTCACTTACACAATCTAAGTACCTAATCAAGAATTTAGGTAACTAACGTAAATAACTTTCCAGGTCATCTTGGAACTCCCAGTTAAATCTAATGACACCCTGTGGAATGAAGAGTTCCTTGCAGTATCTACCTGTGAGCCTAGGACCGCTCTCTACGTAGTCTGCGTCCTTGCTGTACCTCTACTCATCATCCTGTTTGCTTTTCAGTAAACACTTGTTTTAGTGATAGGTTGAGTCGACTTTGAGTGTTCCAAATAGTTTTATCCCTCCACCTCTGATTGGTCCTGATCTGACTTAGATTTTTTTAGTTCAAATTGAAAACAATATGTTGCTACAATAGTGTTACCTGTCTTGGACTTCGGTGCAAAGGTGGTTAAATTTTGGCTATCCATAAAAAAGTATCAGTTTGGACAAATTTCCCTTAAAAGCATTTGGGATTCTTGGATAAAAAGTTCTACTGGCATAAAAGGCCAAGCGAGTCAAGACTTGTTTTAGGGAGTAAAGATAAACTGTAGTCTATCCTGCTGTGATATTGATTGAGTTTAATCTTTTACTTGCCTACGAAAATGAGTTTTTTTTTTTACCAAAAAGCTTTACAGGAATAAAAAAAATGCAGAATTTTTAATATTAATATCCTTTTTGCAACACTTCAGACATATAATGCATGACTATTATAAGTGTTCAAAGATTAACATCTATTATTATTAGTATTTCAAACAGTTTACATTTGAGTCAAGATAAATACATCCAAGAAAATTTGCCCAGTAAATGGCAATAAAGTTATTTCTGTAGCGTAGAGTCAAATTGGACTAGCAATCAACTAGAGTTGGAAAAGGACTCAACTCAACTCAACCCATCACTAAATAACATCCTCATGTTTTATTGATACATTTTTGCGTCAAACCATGAAAACGTGTGAATAATCAATATTCAGGGCTCAACTAATTTAAATGGAAAGTTACTTTTTGTGGGAAACAGAGGAAAACGTCTTTTTCACAAAGGGTAAAAGATAGAAAAAGTAAAAAATATATGCTTCTAGTTTTTTATAAGAAATACTTTTCCAATCATAATTTTAAAATTATTAAGCAAAAACTAATAAATTTGGTGTAGCTTTATATTCAAACATATTTTTACTCCATGACCTCTGGCAAAAGTGACTGATTATGTGACTTTCTTTTAGAAAGTGGTGATTGAACAAGAACGTTATTCCGTTATTAACGTAGTACTCTAGAAATTGTGCTTACAAAAGTATAGCTTTGCTTCTGTATCATAGTATTGATCTGTGTAAATCATTACTGTATAGAACTAATATTTAAAGTTATCGTATTTCAACATAAAACTTACTTTGGACATCAAGTGAGTTTTCATTACCATCCAAAGATACTCCAAACCTTTGTACCTCATTAAGTATCATTACATCTTGATATATCGTCATTGTGTTTGTATTCTGTGATATTCTGTAAATTTTTGTAAATATGTGTACAGTGTATTTTTATATTTATAAGTATTTGAAAATAAATAAACTATATATTTGTTATTTACCTTCACTTTCCCAGTCTTAATGTCAACAAAACCTAATTGAAGAAAAATGAAGATACTCAATAGATAAATATTAATATATAAAAGAAAGTTGTGTTAGTTACAGCGTTACACAAAGATATATAAAAAGCCAGGCCAACAAGTAGGTGTATTTATGTTCTTAAATTCTCTTTGGCTTTTCCCTCTGAATGTCAAAAGTTAAAACATGGTCTAAAAAAAGAACCATTGATAAGATTACTATTAAATAGTGGAGAAAACGGTATATATACATAAAAATTCCATAATTGTAAAACCAAATGATGTATACTATAAAACTGAGTACCATTTTATCACTAAATAAACTTGACCAAATAGAAATTCTATATATGAAAAAGAAAGAAAACTGTGTATTTTTTGTCAAATATATATTTTGCATATAAAACATCAATGACTTATAACAGTGTGCCTAGAATCATATAAAATATTTTGTTTGACAAGCTTACAAGAGTATAAATAAATAATTAATATCAAAATATTTGGTTTAGTACTAACCTTGTGAGAGTATATAAAATATCAAAATATCTTAAAACTACATTTATTAATTGTTACTTCATTAGATCTACAAACTCACTAAAAATGTTTTTATGAAACATACACTTGTTAGAATTGATTTAAGCATTTAAAAACTTCAGCAGTCAAATCTGAAGTCTTTCAAACGTTACAATTTTAAATCTTAAACTTCTAAAAAAATCAGAAAAAAGAGTGATTAATGTGCATTTGTAATTAAGTTAAAGTTCAATCGATGCAAAAAATATTATGTAAATTTAACGGCTTTTCTTTAAAATCGTTAATGGGCCGAGTACAATTTAACACCAACAAATAATATTTCTTATAGCCTAAATAGTCAAAGCTAATACTAAATAAAAAATGTGACTGAAGGCACATTAAATACAAAATAGTGTGTTTACAGATTAACACCAATAAAAGTTACGTTATGTTGATGCCTTCAGAAAAATCCTTGAAAAAATCAGAACAGTGTAAAAAAGTACTTGGCTATTTCAGGAAATTGTGCTTTAAGAATAAGAAAGAAAAGATAACTAATTGTGAGTTATTCAAAGAACTTGATGTTAAAGAAACAATTTCAAGTAAAAAAAAAAAATACAAGATGTTTGGGCCAAGTAGGATGAAGAGATAAAAACACAATCATCAACAATGTTTGGAAAGGTTAACAGGAAGGAATTCGACCTCTATAAAAACAACAAAATGCAAAAAATAGAAAATGCCTCATATGAATTGATTGTAAAAGTACCAAAGAGGGTGGAAGGAATGTTGGTATGTTGGTATGTGCTATGTAGTATATGTTGGTACGGCTAAAAACCAATTTGGTTTTCAATTAAAGTAAGTAAACATTTTCTCAACTCATTAGGTCTCCTATTCTACTTCAAAGGCTGATCAACTGACATATATTTTACTCCATTGTAAATATTAATATAAAATAATGATTAATAGAGAATCTGTCTTTAAAATATAAATCCTTACAAATAGAAAATTGTAAACAAATTCTACAACTTCACCATACTGAAGTGATGAGATCCAATTTCTGACTGTGTGTGAAGGAACATTATGGGGTTTTGACGATCACAATGCTGTCATGGGGAAGTGAGGCCTCTTCTCCAGGCTGGCTTCTTCCTGCCAACACAGGATTCAAAAGGGTCAAAATGTGATGAACAATATTTTTTTCCTACAGTCACGTGACAAAGTGGGTGCTAATTGCTGTATTTACTTACATTTGCCCGCACACTCTTTACTTTTGCCGCACAACAGTATTGCAACCAAATAAAACAAAACAGCGTGCTTTATTAGGCACGTAATATGTGTACGCTTGAAAATAAGTCCCATTTCGTTCAATGTTTGGATTTAACCTAACCTGAAAACGTGTTGTACAGTGTTTGAAAGACTAATTATTTATGTGCTTTATAGTAACTGTAGGAAAAATATAATGTGTAACGCGAGAGCAAACTGCCTTTGCTGCAAGTGCCACTTAGCCCACTAGTTACACAAATAACTATTTTCACACTTCTCCATAATATTTCAGCTAAAAATTCACAAATAAAAGATTAAGTACATTGTTCGGAAGTTACAATACATCTTTAAAAATCAACTCTTAAAATGGTTCCATTATTGTTTTGCTACTATATACTACCATCTTTTCTATTATTCAAATGCAAAACGTATTGCTCCGCCAAACCAACAATGAATTCATATTCAAATCATTGAAATTCTTTTACATTATAACTTGTCGTAAAGTCGAAGAAGGGTGGTTGATACTTTAGCCTAGCGATATATACAATGTGACAAGAAGATTATGTACAAGTTTTTTCCAAAGGAATAAGATTTGGTTTTGCGTCCGCACCCGAATTGAGGGAAGCAGCAGCGTATCTTGATTATTATTTAAAATTATCGTTTTTGAGTGAACTCCTGTTTGATCATTAAGCCTGTGCGTGTTACGAGTTGTGCACTGGATTTTAGTGGCCAGTGGCCAAGTAGACTTCACCTGATCTTTGTCAAGCTATCAAATACAAATAATACTAAACCAAACCTCTAAACAACTAAAAATATTAATCAAAAACTTTACGATTGTTGTAAAGGATGTGTTATCTTTGTCACTTACATGCTGTTAGGAGTTAATTAGAGGTTAATATGAGGCAAAAGCTTGAGTTGCGAAGTCAATAATGACCCCATACTAGAGTAGAGAATCGACGTAGATCAGGGCCCTGGGGTAATTAGTGCACGATTGTTTGGTGACTGGTTTTGACTTGTTCACAGTGCCCGTATATGAGCCACCCCTATACTGGTTAGACCCGGCTTTTAGTCTAGTGGTTTCCCTTATTGCAGACCATGGAATTTCACCTAGCCATGGTAGGCTGAACTACCTTGGCAACAATTGCAACATCTGTGAATATATTTTTCCTTCCAGGAAAAGTCGGTCGCAATAGGCATAAAATAATGAATAATAGTTCCACATTACTGTATTAATCTTGGCTATTTTCTTTAGCAAAAACAGCAGGTGATGTTTAAAGTCAGACAGATAACGTACAGCATATGTCCTTGACACCAGCTGACACTTGTTCATCATAGGGATGAAAGAACAAGGTCCTAAAACTACTGTACGCATGTCATGAAAACCAAATTCGATATGTTGGTAATGTATTACAATATCAGGCAATGAAATAAAAGAATAAATATCTAAAATTCTAATAAATAAATTCCAACCGACAAGTGGTCAACTCACAGTCTAGGCATGTGCTTCAGGTCCATCGGTGTGGTCAGGTTGGTATCCGTGTCTGTCTCACTGCGGCGTCGAGTGTGATAGATCCACCCGAGGGTCGGCTGCAGTAGCCGGTTTGGATCTCGTTTGACTTCCACTGCACTCTTCACTCTTGGTTCAGGCTTGACCTGAGGCTGCTTCTTGGCTATCTGGCGTTCTGTAAATCTTCTGTCTTCATACCTAGGTCACAAGAAGTCATTTAATTGATTAAGTGAAGTACTTTTTAGTGACTACCAAATCGAGGAAAAATGTATAAAAACACAATGAATTCAAATAACCGAACCAACAGTTTAAAATAGGAAAACCAACAAATTAAGTGTCAGTTATTTAAAGTTAGATGAATTTTAAACATTTCATATGGTTTTTTTTATAGTCTACCAGTTTAAGAGTCTTATAGAGCTTTTCAAAATGCCCTTACGAAATCTAATAAAATAGGCTAAACTAACTGTACAAAAAATGCAAATAATGCCACTTTTATGGATCTTGGGCTTCTAATCCAACCCAATTTACTTAGACAATCATTGGGCGAGAGTATAACATTTATTAGACAAATGGTTACAATTACGGTACATGAATTTTACCATCCCTACCTTTAAAAGTAAATAAACATAATATATTTTATCAAGCTACAATTTTTATTACTTTATTCTTCTAACCTGAAATATTTTAGAAGAGTGGCAGCTTTCACCGCTGCTTCTCTTTTAGCTTCCAATTCCTCAGTTTCTTTTGCCGTCTTCAAGGCCAACTCAAAGCTAAGTTTGTCTTCTCGGTAACGGTTTACCAAAGCTCTTTTTTCTTCCTGGATATTTAAAAAACTATTCAAAGTTATATGTAAAATAATGGGGTATTATAATGCAATAATTTATCCAAACAGGCAATCTACCTAATCTACCAGCAATCTACCAAGTGGTAGAAGATGTAGAATTTAAATATATCAACATTAACACTCACTTCAAGTATTATCCACATATGCTCGCTTAAACATCACATACCTGATGCCTTTTTCTTTCTTCATCCTCTCTCTTTTTCTTCATCTCTTCTTTTCTTTGTTGTTCCATTCTTTCGAGCTTGGCAGCAACACAATGGGCCTAAATACAAAACATATTTAAGATTTTATCAATACAAAACTGCATAAAAAGAATGAATAATCAAGTTGATAGGGTTAGTAAGTCAACTAATAATGTGAGAATACTCACCGCTTACCCATGATAAAGGTTGTTGACAAGTTAAGGGGAGAAAGTATGTGTCAGATTGCTGATACCATTTATTTAATTATTATTTATTAGTGTAGTAATAGACACAATCTGGTAGGTCAAAGATGAAGACACCATATTATGTGTATTGTAAAATAAGTTCAAACAGCTAAAACCTTTACTTACTTTCCAAATTTCAATCTTCTCTTTCAAGTTGGGGTCCCGTTTTGGTTGAGGCTTTGGTTCAGTTTGAGGGCAAGGCTGTGAGTTTTCTTTCACTACAACTTTTACTGCCTTTTGAGTCTTCTTCCACTCTTCGATTGCGGTCTTTTTTGCAGCTTTCAATTTTAGATACTCGTTATACCAGGTCTCATGTGCTATCACTTTCTCCAAACTAATGTCTGGAACAATATGTTTACAATTTACAACTTTGTAATTTACTTAAAATTGTCAAGTTCCTTGCCAGCTGTTATTATTACTTTCTTGACTCACTCAATAACCAGCCTTTTGAAGAAATGTGTATTAATCTTTGTAACTAGGATAGTAAGGATACTAAAATATAGCTGAAATAGACACTCGAAGAATAGAGCCTCAAATATGGAGTGCATTTTCTATGAATAGTTTTAGATAGAAAATTTGTGTGACATACTGCTTAGAACTATTGACACTTGGCCTTTGGTTGACCAGTGTAGTAAGTAAGTGCATCTAGATTTGATAAGCAGTCTAAGGTGTTTTCTGCCTGGCCAGGAGACAGCATCACAGATTGATGGTTTGAAACCCGTCTTAGTTAGTGAATAGCTCATGAGCAGTTCGTCATTGGAGTTTGGCCATTGGAGAGGCTCACTTGATAAACAGTAGAAAGCTTGGGAGAAAGTTGGTGGAGTAGTTGAATTGTTTGTCTGGTGTTTTCATACTTTTTGCTTAATTTTATTGTGTGTCTTTCTACCAAAATCTTGTGTTAACAGAATTTAGTTTTTAAAGGATGACCAAGGTTGGTATTTTCAGTTTTGGAGGGAATTTTTATTTCCTTCTAATTTTCAGACTGGATGAGACAGGAAATGATTTTCCTTATGCAAAAAAGGGGTCGTTTTAATAATCTTCAGTAAATATTCTTGCAGGGAGCAATAATATTGTATATTAAACTAATTTGCAGTATTTGTTTTACGGTACTGTACTACAAAATCAATATTGTGTGAAATACCTAACAAAAACGATTAACTAATGAAGTTTTATATTTGGCGTAATTTAACTGTCGAACATCAGTCTAGCTGTAAAATACCGCTAACCATAAAGAAGTATATAAACTGACCATCATTGCGTTTTTTAAAACTGTCTAAAGTTGTAATGCTTGTTATGGTTCCCAAAATAAAAAAATATATTAGCTTTAGTAATCATACATTTTGTAAAAAGTACCTACAATATCATCATAACTATAATCCGCACCAATGTAAATACTTTCTGTGATTACAGAGGAATCGTGAATAACCCCCCCTTCTGCAATGCCATGATTATTAACATGTCTTGCGGTCAAGTCGCAATTGTCAACCAGTCCCGCAATCTTGTTGACATCATCATAGTTACTCGCCATATAGGCAACATCTCCGCGGTCACAGATACATCATTGTCGTCATGTATTGACTTACGCAGCGAAATCGCTTACAATTGAGAAAAAACATATCCTGGGAGAATCCCAAACCAAATTTAATCCTGTCCTGATGATCGGGAATATGTTTTCCAAATTAAATCAGACCTATCCATTCCTAATCTACACATTTGTTAATAGAGAAAACTTGATAAAAAATTCTTAAATAAATAACTAAGTTATCCAAGGGTTTAAAGGATTAAAGAACAGAAGGGCGTAAAACAGTAACAAGGTCAGGATTTGGTACAAACCAAAAACATTTTTTATATTTTCAGTTCAGTTATCTTAGAATTAAAATGATTCACTTTACAGCATTGTTTACTAACTTTAAAGCATTGCTTTTTTACTTTACAACACTAGAAACGGACCAATTAGGTTCAAGGATTGAGAGAAAAGAAATAAAATTGTATTGCTTCGAACGTCATCTTATCAAGAATCAAGAATTTATTGACCACTCAACAATTACATGCTATCAGTCTCGTCACAAAAAAAAAAAAAAAAAAAAAAAAAATACAAAATGTTGCAAAAACGCACACATATCAGCTGTTAAGACCAATTTAATTGCTTATGGGTGGTTGGTACAATGAGTCGTTGCATCACTATCCGTGGCAATGAGGTTATAAACAAAACATAACATCTCTTAGAAGTTATGAGTAGTGATTGTTAGTAGGCCTGATTAAAATGTTAGTAGGTAAAGTAGTGTAAGCAACTCGCGTGAATAGTCTTTACGTGATCAGTGCCAACATATCGCGAAACCAACAGACCATCTTTAACAAAGCCAACAGAGCTGAAAAACACAAAATCAAAACATCAAATATATCCTAAATAGCGTAATGTAAGAAAATGTGTTTACCTGGAAGATTCTCATGGACTATTTCTGCTGTTTTTTTTAACGAGTATTTTTTCCTGGTATTGAGGAAGAACATGTGATCTTTTTCTTTCCAGCCACCGTAGTGTCCTCCTTCGATGTGTAAAAACCTCTGGAATGCTTCAACTTCCTGATGAAATAAGAAGGACTTTAGTGAAAACTGTTTGGCAGTGACTTATCAAAGAGAAACTAGCAAAATGAGTTACCACTACACCACGAGTAAATGCTATCTAACCTTTGCGGTCCTGGGTAATTCTTAGGGTCAGTGGTGAAGTAAAGGTAAAAACTGAAGAAGTTTAACTGTTTGTCATACTTTCTATCTGACCATTGTAACAGCTGTATAAATGTTTATACATTGTTTTTGTTTTATGCTGTTAGTGTTTTCATATTGTTAGTTTTATTTCATGCAAGATTCTAGTTTTTTTATTAATCATTCAATCTACAACAATGTTGTTAAAGTAAAAGTGAACCAATTTGATATTGTTTATTAAATGTATTTTAATGGATTGATATATACTTACTGGACGTACAGTAGTGCTGCTAGTTAATGTCAACCCGGAATTGGTTTTCACAGTAGACTTGGCTGAAGAACTATCAGAAACAGAAAACTCTTCGAGTTGCAGGCGAATGTACTCAAATTCTTTTTCATTTTCTTTTTTCTGCTCCCTAGAACATTTAGTTTGGACTTATCACTTAAAGCTAAGGTTTTACTACATGAACTATATTAATATACTATATCGTATACAGTCAACAGGGTAAAGAAAAGATAAAGGTGAACAGTATTGTCCTAAAGATGTAACTAAAAGATTATACTGATTTTGATAGAGTATTATAGAAAACAAAAATACTTACTCACTATTTTTGTGGCTCTCAGCTGACATTTTGATCTTTCTTCTGTTAGTATAGTCAAACAGACATTTCCCGCCATCTAAAAAAGTCCATTTTGGTATGAAATACATCTGTTAAGTAGTAGGCTAATTATATTTTAGCAATTTTGTAAAACAAGAAACCTGCAATCTAAAACAACAGATAACCATATTTTTTGTTTGCTCACAACCATTTAAGGGGAACAGTATACGTGTTAATATTTTAGGCCTACTTATATTCCTTTTTCTTACAGTAATTCTAACAAAAGTGGAACAATATGGAATAGGTAGAGCTCGTGACATCTAAGCTGGCACTCGGCCGATCGCTACTAGTACCTATTTCAAAAACATTATGTCCCGTCATGCGGTTGCGTCAACTGTCCTCGCGACCCATATGAAGGCGCTCAAGTACCTACATAATACAAGGGGAGTCAACCCCGTGAGGCAGCGGAAATGTTTGCAGTCCGGTCTTTTCCCTACCTCCACCCTCCTCCTGCATACACTGCCCGCGCTAGGCCAAGTGCCAGCTTAGGTGTCACGAGCTATACTACAAAACTGTACGGTTAGGTCAAATGATACAATCCTATGTTTCAAATCTACTGAGCAAACTCCTATATGCCTTGGTAAATTTAAATTAAACAGGTTCATATCTCTTAGAGAATTTATCTTAGAGATTTGATCAGTATACTGTCGATACTGTTCATTGAAAGGACAACCATACAAAGAAGGCATTTTAAGCCAAGTATGAATGGAGATGAGTGTAGGATGAGTGGCACGATCTTGTAGTCTTGTTAGTGACTAAGGCCGACATATTCCTTAGACACAGCTGTTAATTAATAGCCCATACAGGGCAACTAAGGGACCTACAGTTTATGGTGGAATCCGAACCACATTTATGCTTTGGTATTACTGAATTGGTCTAATTATCAGAATAGTACTGATAATACATAATAATACATTGGCTCAGTTTCTTGATTTTTTAATATTTGATAAAAAAAAACACTTACAATGAAAAAATAAGTAGCCTATACAACATTTTTACACTACAGTATCTCTAATTAGATGTTCAGTGCTTGGCGAATGTTGCATGTTTAGTCTAGTATAAAGAATGAAATGGAAGACAAAGAACTGCATTAAGCACTTAAATGCCTTGGTGATTAAAGGGCAAACAAATATGACCTAATGAACTGTTTATTTGTTTAAACTAATCTAAAAGTTTGGACATTTTTAATAATCAATTGTCTTTAGCCTAAATTAGGTAAATCAAACAAAAAAGTGATTATTTTTTATTTCAAAGCACATTTTTATTACAGCTAATAATTTTAAAACATTTTAGCTTATGATGCATGCGATTCTTTGGAAAACCCATTTTTCAGACTACAAAACTCATATAGGCCCTAGTGAGTCAACTTTCTTGTAATCTATTTTTACCTTTAAATTTATTATTTGAGTACACTTTTTACTGCAACTGATAGTTTCTCAAATATTGTATCTAATGATGCCTGCGATACTTTGAAGGTAAAAGCCCTTTTCCCAAACCACAACTCATAGTAAGTCGACTTTCTTGTGATTGGTTTCTTCCACCGGGCGAGCGATGAGAGCCACAATGATTGTCTTGCGCTTGGCCATGATGGCAAACTCGTCCATTATATTCGCTGCCGTTAGCAGAGGAAGTGTGGGAGTAGCTATCAGAGTTGGTCACTAGTGAAGTGGTGCTCGTTCCGTACTGAGAATCTTTCTGCGAATCATAGTCGGAACGTCTGCAGCAACAAAGACAGCTCCTTATGAACGCCCAGTACAGAAAACAAATGAACAATATCGAAAGTAGTAGTATGAGAATAATAGCAATGTAAGTAGCTTTTGTTAGTTGTGCCTCACTTTCAAGCTCAGCAAACAACGACTCCTCTTCATCTTTATGACTCGTAGCTATGATTCCTGACCTTTGCTGTATTGTTTCTTCTATTCGCAGAACATTGCTGAATCCGACATACCAGGTTTCATCTTTCAAATGAGGCAATATTTTTGTTTTAAGCCAGTTTGATAATACTCTGTCAAACTCGGATTGTTCCATTCCTTTCTGCGACTGTGTGAGACAACTGGATGCTTCGATGTAGTATTTGATCAAAATATCGTAAGAGTTTCTGCTTTTCAAATTAAACAGAGCTCGGTTTTTGAAAGGTATTGCAATAGAGTTTGGCTTACTGTTGTCATCCAGTATGGGAAGAGGTATTAGTGTTTTTGATTGGTTGTCGATGGGAAATTCATCACCGGTTTTCGAGCAAGCACCAATACTCTCAGCGTAAAGGAGGTTACATGGTTTTGAGGAGGGCTTTGCTGGGAGTTTGAGAGGTAGAATTCTGTTGATGTGTTTTCTGACTTCCATCGGTTTTGTCCACCCATCACCGTTCGTCATAAGAATTCCTTTGAAGTTCTCTTGCACTCTATAAAATTCTGCAGCATTATCATAAGAAACGTATCCTTCATAGTATGCTTCGTTCAAAAGAGGCAAACCATAAGTTTGCAAATAACCGCCAAAAACGTCTGCAAGGGCAGCAACCATATAATCGTAAACTGTTTTTGAAGGTGCAATTTCTTTAAGGGTGGTCAAGCAGATATGAATGTATTCGAGTAAAAGAGGAATATTGTGAGGAATTTGCCGAGGAACCAATTCCATCATGGCTCTCCGAGTATACAACAAAGCCAGCTCTTCTCGACTCCAGCAGTACTTTCTATGAAGGTCTATGTTGCGAAATAACACTGTACTTGTATTTGGTAATTTGCAGACAGATTCTGCAGATATAGAAAACAAAAATGACAAAACGGTTAGGTTGAGTAACCACATTACAGTAAAGAAATTTACTCCTTGTTATCACACAAGAAAAATCCGTTAAAATTGTAATTTTTTTTTTACTAAGGAAGTAAGTATTAAAATTGATAGGCTATTTGGATTTTAGGCTATGTTCTTAAAGTTAGTAGTTTGCTCTGGGTTTCCTTAGCAACAGGAACAGCTGTGTTAACTTGGTAGACCATTAATTATATAATCACACCAAATGAATGGTCAATACTTGTTTTATTCAAAGTAAATGGCTTTGCACTTAGAATAATAACTTGTAGTTCTAAATTAATTTATCTCACCAGCACCGTTCATAATCAAAATTGATAGATCAACTTTAAATAGTAGGCCTACAAGTAAGTTAGACTTCCCATATTATTAGGCCTATACAATAGTGAAAAATATAAAAAAATACACAACAATAATATAAGCCAACCTGTAAAATCCACGTTAGCAGTATTGTCGCAGGTTTCATTCAAATCTTCTTTAAGTCTTTCCATATACTTACAATCCTCATGCTTCCCCATATTTATATGGACATAAAATTATCTGAAAAAAAACTTTACTTTTAAAAAGAAGGAAATGTTAAAATCACTTAGTCACAAACCATTTATTGGACTAAAAATTGAAACTTCAAAGTTCCTTTCCTAATTTTCACCACGGTAATGACCATTGACTTAGGCCTACTATGTTAAATAACCGTCCGTGAAATTTTACAATTAAAAGCAAGCTTTAGAAACCCACTGCCTACATTTTTACATGTAGGTACATTATAAGAATAAGAATAAGAAAGTTTATTGCCATTGACCAAATTGTACACAGGAATAGGCATTGTCAAATTACATTAAACAAAATATCAACAAGAATGTTATATCTATAGGTAACAAAGATTGAGAATTCCTAATCTACAGTATGAATGATTCCATTGTAATTTTATGTTTCAAAAAGTCCTTAACTGGGTAGAACGGATTTGCTACTATAGTAATATCAGAAACAAAAGAACCCTGGGCCGTTTCGAGCCGCGCAGGTTTGAATGGTACGCCACACCTACCTGCGCGAACCACGTGATCTTTTCGTTTCTGCGCAGGTTATTTTGTTCTTGGTATGTCTATAGCCAGTTATGCATTTTGGATTTGAAAAGAGGAAGAGAAAGGCTGTCTGCCTGAAGAGGCTGAGGCAGCTTATTATAAAATTTCACACAGTTAAGTTTGAAAGAATTACCTGTGATGGCTAGCCTGTGATGTGGTATATCCAGGATATATCCATTGAGGGTCACCTATCACCTACCAGTCTTACAGTGAGCTGAGAGCATTTAGGTTAGGTTAGTATACCCTAGTTTAACTTATGATAATTATAAACAAGGTTACAAAATTAACCTTTTCCTAAACTCATTCAAGAGGATGTACCAATACAAATTTATGTTTTTTTTAAATTTATCTCTCAAATTAAACAACATAGATCTAGCTTATAAACTGTTTGTATTAAATTCTACCTTGTTTGTTATATACTCATAGGGTAAGTTACACTTGCACAGAGAACCTAAGATATATTATGGTATGAATAGGGGCCGCTTGCCACTTGTATCGTACCTGAGGCCAGGCCCCGGGTACGATACGAGCGGCCGGGAGGATGGGGCACATTTGAACGGTTTAAATTTGCCGTCATTTTTATAATCGCAGGCCATTGGACCAGCTGTAAAATGTAGCCCTCCAACAGGACAACAGGTTGCATTCATCTCCCTTCATTTCTGATCAGTTCTCAGTTTGTTGTTGGGAAAATAAGTTTTAGAGCGCCACAAGAAAACTTTTTTAGCAGTATGGATTTGTACATTTTCCATAGAAAAACTATGTTACAGATAAGTTTGATCCATTTACCTTATGGCAAATACATACATATATAGATACAATTATGCATTTCACATTGATAAATTACAATTCAAGAAAACAAATTTAACTTTTTGCAAAATGGTGCCTAATGGGATGGATTTGAACACCATGTTTTCCTCTGGTAAGCCTGTTGTTCAAATGTACCCAAACTGATTATATTTGTTGCCTATACAAGACAGTAATGATTAATAATAATTTAATACTATAAGCTTCCTCAATCAACAATGAGCGTGAGAACTGAACGTGCAGCGAACAAATATAATTTTGCTAAATATTAACTTTGCAACATTTCGCTACAAATAATGTGAATCTACAACATTAAATAAATAATTTCAATAGAAATAAGAAGTGTTTTTATCAACTCACATGTATAACAATTTCTGTAAAAAAAAAATTCATTTTAGGCTACTTACTTAATTAGTGTTTTCAATTGTACCCGACTTCTTGTTGTTTTGAACGATTTTCATACTGGTACCTTGGTGAAAACAGATATTGCACATTAACTTAACATGTTAACTTGGAGGGTTAAAAAATAACTAAATTAAAGCTAACATTATGTTACGACTAAATGTAATAATGTTTTTATTAAAAACACATAAATTCACCTATTAATAAATTAAAGTTTAAAAAGTGTTAAAATGAGCCCCACTCTCCCCATACCTAATAAAGAACTCTTCCCACTTAAGTAAAGAAGATTAAAAATGGAAGAAATGCGTTGTAGGTTTTTAGTTCATATTTTCAACATTTTTAAGTTAGTTTTAAGTTGATTAACTTAACTTAATTTATCTTTTGGCTGTGTTAAGTTATTGATTTTTTAGTTACTTTTCTATAGTTCGGCCGCTTAGAAAACGGCCTGCACGCTAATGCTAAACCAATGCTCGAGGAGGTCGCTTTCTAAGCGGCCGAACTATAATACAAAAATGTGGTTAACTTAGGCCTATGGTTTTTATTGATGAGTTAGTTTATTAGGCTTAGTTAAATATAAGATAAAAACATACCATAGGCTAACTAGCCTAAACCAATTTTGAAATCAATGGTTACAATAGAAGAAAATTATATAGCCTATATGATAGGCCTATATCAAAAGAAACAAGTTTCGATAGGGGCCTATATAGGCCTGTATCATTATTCATCCGATAATATATCGTAGGTTCTCTGTGGAAACCTAACCTAAACGTAGGATCTCTGTGGAACTGAACCCAAAATGAACCAAACTCACCCAACATAGGCTAACCGCTGCATCACAGTGTGAAAGTGAAAAGTCTTCTTGAAGACCACTCACTAGACCTATGTCTTAAAACCGTCATATTCAATAGGTACAAACAATAGATTGATATCCTACGATAACATTAACTTACTTAATAAGTTATTTCGACTAATAAGCTACCTGTAATATAACTTCTTAATCAGCATCGTAAGTTACGTGTTATTAAACTTAATTTACCTGGGAGCACAAGAAATACGTCAAATAACACTTAAAGGGTAATAGCCTATGTAATATTTAATTAAGTTACACTTAGGCCTATAGGCTACTGTTTACTCACAAGATGGTAGGCCTAAATTGGCATTCGCCTATTGGGTCTGATGATGATTGGAGTGTCCTATCAAAATCGTCTGATCACCACTTAGGCCTACCATCTTTAAGTTAATATGTAATTTACCGTCCTGTGAGTAAACAGTAGCCTATAAGACTGTTTACTCCTACGCCTTCGCAAACTGTAGGCAACTTAATTTGTTTTCGAAATAAATACGTGGTCAATATTGGTGTATTAAATTAACGGGTACACTTCCATATCTGTTGGCACTAATATCGAATGAGTACTTTTTATCGATACATCGAACAATCGATATATCGATAAAAAGTACTCATTCGATAGTTTGGTTAGGTTATATATCGATTAATTGATATATCGATAAAAAGTACTCATTCGATATAAAAAGTACTCATTCGATATTAGTGCCAACAGATATGGAAGTGTACCCAAATTAACTTTTACCACAGAAAACATAGTAGTATGTTTTCTGTGCTTTTACTGTGTTTCTAGTGTCATCAAATTATTGTTGCCTACCAGGGCTACTAACTTACATAAAAATTGGGGGAGTTGCCTACACTCAAAAATTGAACTAACCTAAAAATGTTCCTCTAAGTTACGTACAAAGTAAAGCTCCTATTAGTACCTTTGAATTCATTTATGTCACAATAAAATGTAGATCACCACTGCAAGTATTTACGTTAATTACCAAAATCACAAACTGAGAATTTATTAAATGGTTTGATAAGTTAACTTATTTATAACAAAGAGTGTTGGTTGATAGACTTTGACAGTTCGCTTTGTTTTTGTTACTGTGTGTGGTCTGGTCGTGGCGTGGTGTATTTGTATTTGTTTGTGTTGTTTTGTTTTTGTTTGATCGTTTCGTGTGTTCAGTTCAGTTTCAGTGTGTTGTTATTGTGGTTCTAATTTTTTTACTTCCGTTTCAGCATTAAGCTTAGGCAGGCTGTAATCAAGACAAGGATTTTTCGCACTTTGGAGTGTATTATATATATATAATAGTAATAATAATAATAAATTGCAATCATTTGGGTGTAGAAACATGTATATCTAATATATAAAATTCTCGTGTCACAGTGTTTGTCTGCAAACTCCTCCGGAACGACTTCACCGATCGTTATGAAATTTGGTGTGTAAATTCTGTAGGTATGCGAATCGGACGTAAACTATTTCCCGTTTCGAAATTCTTAAAAGGGCTCCGCCCCAGTGGCTCTGGAGTTTCCCATGTTAACCTTATGAGAAATGGAATTAATGAATCTTAACAGCTGTTTCAATTAAACAAGTTGGTTCTGTTCTATGATGTTCAATAGCATTAAAGTTACAAGGATTACCAACAGGGTGCAGCACTATTATTTCTTTTACATTTATGACAACAGCTAATTTGCAACCAAAAGGTGAGTGAGCGTAGCGAACGAACTTCAACCTGGAGGCGAGTGAGCGTAGCGAACGAGCTAACCTGAATGCAAGTGAGCGCAGCGAACGAGCTCCAACCTAAAGGTGAGTGAGCGTAGCGAACGAGCTCCAACCCAAAGGTGAGTGAGCGTAGCGAACGAACTTCAACCAGGACGTGATTGAGCGATGCGAACGAGATCATCTTGAAAATTAAACGTAACGGTACTTTCTTTCCATCGGTCTGTCTTAGGGGAAACCTATAACTTAGGCGATACGAAGTTCGCCGGGTCAGCTAGTATACCTTATAAAAATTATTGGGTAAATTATTGGAAGAACAATAAATCCATGGTAAAATATAATTTAGAGTGGGTTTTACCAAAGATTAAACTTTCCTATGGTTTTACTATATATTAAGAAACACCCTCGTAGATCAATGATCCTCACAGACATAGATTAAACCATAAACATACTCCTTTCCTTGATGAGTAAGTTTTTTCTATGCAGTTTGGTTAAACATACTCCTTGAGGAGTATGTTTTATCTATGTTACAGATCAGCTGAAGTACTATGGTGGGTGGAAGGGGTGAAGACAACAAATTATTATTTTAATGCAGTTCCTGCCGGTTTGAGTGGATGCACAGCCACCTTTAACTCCAGGCCGCGGCCTCGAAGTGGCCATGTCGAAAGTAGCGTTTTAATAGCTGTTTTGTTTGGAAGCAGCTAATGGTATTTGTGTATTTACGAAGCTTGGTTACTCTGGACTATGAAAATATTGACTCCGCTTTAAATGTACAGATATAGATTTTCAATTCATACCTATTATTGTTTTGGTTTTCAATTCTGTATGTTTTATTTTCAATTAATAAAGTTATGTTCATAAATTTTAATTAAGGTCAATATAGTGCTAATTAATGAGCTGATGTCACCTGTCTGCCATGTTATCTTATGGGACGTCTGACACTATAAGCAACCCTACTTGCGACGTTGCCAATTCTACCAGGCCGCGGCCTGTAGTTAAAGGTGACCTTGCTCTAGGCCGTGGCCTGGTAGAATTGGCAACGTTGTAAGTAGTGTTGTTTAGCGTCAGACTCAGACGTCCTATAAGATAACATGGCAGACAAAGACAAGTGACACCAGCTCAATAGTTCGCGTATTATTCATTCAAATTTATGATTATAAATTTATTAACAAGATTGATAATAAAACATATAGAATTAAAAACCAACGCAGAATATAAATAGAAAAATCTATTTTTTCCTTACATTTAAAGTGCAGTCAATATTTTCATAGCCCAGTAACCAAGCTCTTATGTTATTAAAAAATACCATTAGCTGCCTCAAAAATCAAAAACAAAACGGCTGTAACAAAACTTTGCGACACATTGCCACTTCGAGGGCCGCGGCCTGGAGTTAAAGGTGACCGTGGTAGATGGCATGTTTTTGCATTACCTACTATGTATTTCTTGTTATTTCACATATTTTAAAACTAGTAACCTACTTAGATAGAAATACAACTGTATAGAGGTAGCCCCTCCAACTATTAAATCTGCTAGTAACATTTTGTTATGTTGGTTTGGTACCAACTAGAAGAATTAAAGAATCAAACAGCTCATTAGATATGGCTTTATTACAATCCCACAATAATTGATAATTCAGCCACCCCCATTTGCAATGTAATAGGATACACATTCACTTGGAGAGATGAATAATATTTGCCAGTTCTGCTGTGAAACTCAGCCTCCCATACACGGTCCGACATGTCGGCAAACATGTCCGGTCTGCGAAATACCTACCTACTTTCCTACGGTCGTCATTTCAAAGAAAAGTATTTAAAAAAAGTCCGTCCACCAAGTCTGGCTGTTACCATACCACACTCAATCCATCCAGTTCCAATGGCGGAATCTTTGTGTAGTTTCGGTTTTATTTGGTCAGCATCGTTCAGTATGGCAGAATAGTGCAATGAGGGCCTTCCCACTTCAGTTTGGGATGGAATGGATGCAACCAGTAAAATCACACTTTCATATGGCTTCCTTTGTCTTAAAGATGACAACTCTCCTCGCAAAAACTAACTATATGGTCAAAGAAATGGTTGTGCAAATTAAAGTCATATATGACACTGGTAAGGGAACTTTGAGGAATTAATGGCAGTTGGACTCCTTTTCTTGCATAGAGCATTTCCAATTTTGACTAAAAGTATCCAAAATGTGTGTGTTATAAATTTTAACCCTGCAGCTCATCCATGAGCTAGGTATTGAGGGTACATGTAGGTACATGTTCATTACTAACTTCAGAATGGGAAGTAAATTGTACAACGTTTATAATAACAACAATAATTTTAATTCAATTATAATAAGTCTAATATCTAACTAATATCACCATCAAAAATACAACCACAAAATAATAAATGGCACACTATAAAGAGGAACATTAATTTGAAGCAGTCATTGGTTTCACTTTCAGCTCAGCTGCCAATTGTGCCTGGAATCAAGAGAATAAAATTACACAATGAAGCACTCAACTAATGATTATGATTATTATTATACAAAATTATATGTCTGAACTAAAAGTACTCTTGACAGTATTCTCTAAATAGGGGTCAAATTAAGCCCATAAAACCTTAAAACGGTAAATTTTATACAGAGGAACCCCCCTTTATTGCTAAAGTTGTATTTGTAGAACTCGCACATGAGAAACTGTAGTAACACAAAAGCACTTACAGAGGCTTTAAGCTGATTCTCATGGTAAAGAACTCCACCTTCAGTTTTGACCTTTTCAATATTTCTTCGCTCTGGATCTCCATGGACCAAAACTGGTTTTTCAGGGTCGGCCTGAAATTAAGATGAATTTTATAATTCAACAAAATTTCTATCATATTCATTTTGATTGCTTAAAATCCAGCTTGGGAATCATGCAGCAATTCATTTTTGACTGTCTTTTCACATTTTCATCATTAAAAAAAAAACAAAACAAAAAACTAATTTCGTTAACAGTTTTGTTTTACTAAAAAACAGAATATACACCAAAAAGTAGGGTCATGTGCAAATTACCATGTTAACTGAAAAACAAGGAAAGAAAATCCTTGATATTTACGTTATTCCAATGATTACTAGTTTCACGCACTGACATACTACTAATTGAAACAAACAAATGAGGATTTATAATAAACCTGGTGGTTTCTTTACTTCTCGGTAATGCCATTGGTTCAAGGAAATGTGTATTGTTCCATAATCAGTTGCAATACTTAGCGGTTTTCTACTTTATTAGCTTTAAACAATTTTTCATTGTTCCTTTAAATTAGAGAGGAGATTCGGATGGGCGTGCTTACAAGAACCCTTCCTCTACCATCGTCTCTTTTGTTATTTATTTGTACGGTAATTCAAATAATCAAATAATTAATTGTTGGATTAATTTAATAGAACTAGCGTCTAATGGTAGACTCTCACAGTGTTGTTGGGAATTTTCTCTCATCACTCTCTACAATCATCCTAATTGGCAAAATCTACACTTTGGCTTCAAACCCCGTTGTGAATCTCGAGAAAAGCTATCGGTACTAGTCTATAATAAAAATAACCAAGCTAATTTTTTAAGTTCATAGAATAATAATGTTAAAATTTCAAAGACAAGACTAAAAGACAATTAATGAACTTAAAGTATATTTAACAAAGTTGGACATTATTTACAAAAATCATAATAATAAAAAAACATATGTTTTTTTAGTTATTAATCAGAATGATTAAGGCAGGCAATAAGTTTTAACATCTTCAATATTTTGCACTAAAACATCAAAAGGTTTTCTATTAATTTTCATCCTTGTTTGTACAGTACCAGTAATAATTTGACTTTAATAATTACAATAGTACTAAGTCCAGAGTTATACGTACAGGGTCCAGGTTGCGCAGCAGGCCCATCATATCGCTCATCCGCAGAGGAAAGTCTGGAGCGAAACAAGCTGGATTGATGGCGATGAAACATTGACCTAGATTGGCCGGCCGCTCACCATCCATCCACTTGCGGATCTTGGGTCCGTAATCAGCTCCTGAAACATCGTGTTGTAATCTAGCTAATAACCAAACCAACTCTTGTTAGGAGTAGATGTGATAGATACAAAGGAGGATTCAGATAGTTTGGTTGTGGATGTGAATATTGTGTCTTTCAATTCTGTGCTGGTTTGTAAAATTTATTTTTTGTCCAAAAATAAATCTTTTGTGTTGGATTTAAATTTGCGCACACCACAGACGGAGTAACACAACAGGCTTAGGAGAAGGTCGACCTTTCGCCTAGTGGGGATACATTTGTTTACATGGATTGACTGCATTCAATTCCTTATACACTTCACATGAGCCAGGAACTTTCCTATTGATCCAGGTTATTGTCACTTAATGACACAAAAACATCCAATATTTTTATCTGTCTTCCTCATGCTTGATTATCATCAACCTTTCTGCAGGGGTTGTAATGTGTAATTTTCTGTTTCAATACAAACCAACGTAGGGTGGAATGTGCCGGAGTGTTAAATAGCTCTGATTTTTCAAGGTGTCTGAAACGATACCTGTTGTATAGAAATCAGATGCCCCCCAGCATCATTTAAGTTGCTTTGCCAAGCCCTCCATTCTCCCTAGCTTTACTATAACATAAATCTCATTGTTCAAACACAACAGAAACTAGAGTACTATTTTAAAGTAATTTATTACACTTTAGTTTTATTTTATAGTAACAACCCTATCATATAATTGTTTCTTTACTCATTATTTTCACTTGTTTTATATAAAAAAAGCACATCTTGGTATGTCAGCAACATGGTCTATATAATCATCCATCCACAATAAGATTTGAGTTTCAAATCATTTTTGCTTTAAAACCGATATTTTTATACTAACCTGCTAATATTCCACAAAATGTCTCCACCAGGAGTGCCAGGCCATAGCCTTTGTATCCTGACGTTCTTTCTTCTCCTCCGAGTGGCATGAGTGCCGATGTTTTAAAAGCCAACTCAGCATCTGTAGTCGGCTGTCCATCAGGTCCTTGAGCCCAACCAATGGGAATCGGTTCTTTTTTCCTACGTTGAACTTCTATCTGGAATTAGATGCTCCTTTAAAAGCCTAGGGTAGATAAAAAGCTGTCCAAAATAAATTTTATGTGAAAGGTTTGAAGCTTTTTTGATTAGGTACTTGAAACTAAACTCTGTTCTTAATCTTTGTTCAACTAAATAATTTTAACTCAAGAAACAGATAATTTTTAATAACTAATTACTAAGGGTTTGTTCTGTTTTTTCCATGCATACTTATAAATCTATGTGAATCCGTTGCGATTTTTTAGTTATGAGTCCTAAAAGACTTTTAACATTATTATTTCTCATAATCATTTTATAGAAAATTTTGTATTTTTCAAAGCAACCTAAATAAACTAGCGCTAGGTCACAGCAACTGGTATTCAGCACCAAAAACAGCAATAGTTGGGTAACTAAGAACACATTCCACATTCTCTTTCATCATAACAGTTTCTCCAACACTAATGAAAGAGGAATTTAACATTATGTTCACATAATTATTATTGAAAACTTACTTTGCCTACAGCAACTGCAGTAGTTGCCATATCTAAGACAAAACTGTCCCCGTTTTCACCTGGTGCAGCTAGAGAAATTGGGTTGGTCCCAAGGGCAGACTGAAACAAATTGATACATTTTAGTGAAGTAAATTGAAGCAAATTTCTTTTCACCTAAAAGGCCAATATTCTATTTCTAATTAACCTACAAAACATTCAAAATGAAAGATTTGAGTCACATTTGAACATAGAGTTCATAATAGGACAGAAGTTCTGCACTCTTATTAACCACTAGTCTTTATTATAATTTAACTGAATAAATAATTTGATGAATAGTGAAATAACTAGCAATTAAATTTTATAAGTGGCTGGGCTCAATTCAGCTATACCTATAGGTGTACACATAGTCTCAACTTTAAAAAAATTTTTACAATGTCCTTTATCAAGGCCACACTAAAAAAACAGGCCGTAATGCTCGTCCAGCATGACGTCACGATAGAAGACGGCAATGACGTAATTTTGCCGTTTGTGATCAGCTGCTTGTTTTAATCTTTCATTGGAAAATAAATAAATAAGTAATTATACGTCATAGCCGTCTTCTATCATGACGTCATGCTTGGCGAGCATTACGGCCTGTTTTTTTAGTGTGGCCTTGCCTTTATACAAGGCCAATGATAACTTTTTATTCCTCATTCAAAAATCAAAAGATACCGATAAGTTTTTTCCTTACTGAAAAATTGATTTAAGAGAGTAAAGTGTTGTAATTTACCTTTTTGCTCCTTGTTGGACTCATCAAAGGTGAAGTGTTTGTAAAAGACATTCCCTGGAACAAACCAAATACTTTTAGTGGTGTAGTGAAATAGTATACTGTATTTAATAACAAGAGAAGAAAGTGAGTCATTACATATTTGAGACCATATGTTTGAAGTGTGAGATTTATCGAGCACTTTAAATGGTTGAGACCCACTTTCACTTGTGTTTTGAACGTTACTTTTCGCTATACTACAAAGACTAATTATTTTCTTGAACATTACAAAACTCATAGTATTTTTCTGGTTATAACATCAAAAAACAGTTAATATTTACTTTGGTTGTACAGTTTTTGGTTGTTGAAAATTAAAACAGTTGACAAAACAATAACACATTTTTGTTTGTTAACGTCGGCAAAATCCAAAAAAGATAGTAAACATTACTTTCGCACAGTAAACATGTCTTTTGCCGTAGTAAACAATGTAGCTATGAATTTTCGCAGGTGATAAACATGTAACGAAAACAAGTCATTTCACAGTAGTGTAGGGACAAAAATTATTCAGCAGGTTTCACTTCCCAAGGAATGCCAAAATAATTGATTATTTTGATTTGTGCTTTTGAATTTTAAAAACAAATTAGAAATACTGAGAAAGCAATTTGTCGGTGCAAGTGGATCCAATCATACACATGAAACAATGTAATATGGAACATAACTCGTTCATTATCAGGTGATCAGTTACAGCACGTGTTACGTCTTTCATCATCTCGGCAATATCTCGCGACAGGTGAAACATCAGACGTTAATTGGAACGTTGACTGTCTACACCGCTTAATTGCTCCTGCTGAATCTCCCATTTATTATAACTGTCGCAGTCGTGACAAAATTTACTTTGACTAATTCAATCCCATCTTTGGAAAAAATGAAGAATTAGTGGGTTTTGATGATTAACGACAAATTTGATCTGTAATCGTGATATTATATAACTACTTTGTCGCTATTTCAATGAAAAGTATTAAAGTATTTTAAATTGTTTGGAATTTCTTTATGATAGTTTTCACTTGAGGAACATTTTTTCTATCAAATTAATTTGTTGAAAATATAGTGTGTGGTAGAGCGCCACAATGTTTTCATAAAATTAATGAACAATGGCAATTTGAGTGCTTGAGTAAAGAATGCTTTAGCATTATGAAATCAATATAAAAATTATGGAAATGAAAGATTAAAAAATCATAATAAATTCTTATAACAATAAAAATCTTCCTTCCTAAAGTATTCCTATTGTAAAGTCAACAATAGCCTACGCAAAATAGATCATTTCCGCTCTAAAGCAGGAATGGATCATTTGCTAAATTAGCTGATTTCAAAGTTGGCGTTGATTTCTACACCAACCACAGCTGCGGATCCAGGGTACATTATAACAACCAGTAATCAAATCACATTACCTAAACAAGGCGAACATAGCCTAAATGACATTTAACACATAAAAAGTTAATCTGTGTGTTATGATAAGTTAATTATGGTGGTAGGAAAAATGTTGTGTGTATCATTGCCGCTTTTAAAATCTATGGCTGCACTTATGCTAAAGCGTACGGTCATCTATGGTTCTCGAGCGGCGATGACAACAACAATGACCTACTTTGCACTCTTAATACAAATATCTATGTTTCTACACTGTGCAATCACCTGTTTTTGTTGTACATTTATCAACAGAAAAAGTTTCAATATAAATTTGAAATTTTTTCCATGTAATAGAATTATAAATAGTAATAGATTTATAATAGTGAATTTACTTTTAAAAAAATTGGAAAAAATATAAGAGATTATTGAATCAGGTTCAAATCACCATTGCTAAAACAACTGTGACTACAAATACTAACAGTCATCAGGAAATGTGATAAAGCTATAGTGATATGTTTCAAGGTGAAGTATTTGATTAGTAAAATATGTGTGACGACTTTGCTTTTGGTGTTATATTATTTAACTAAGTTCAATAGACGTTTTATGAGTTGGAAGGAAATTATTTTATATATGAACTAGCTGACCCGGCGAACTTCGTATCGCCTAAGTTATAGGTTTCCCCTAAGACAGACCGATGGAAAGAAAGTACCGTTACGTTTAATATTCAAGATGATCTCGTTCGCATCGCTCAATCACGTCCTGGTTGAAGTTCGTTCGCTACGCTCACTCACCTTTGGGTTGGAGCTCGTTCGCTGCGCTCACTTGCCTTTAGGTTGGAGCTCGTTCGCTACGCTAACTCGCCTCCAGGTTAGCTCGTTCGCTACGCTCACTCGCCTCCAGGTTGAAGTTCGTTCGCTACGCTCACTCACCTTTTGGTTGCAAATTAGCTGTTGTCATAAATGTAAAAGAAATAATAGTGCTGCACCCTGTTGGTAATCCTTGTAACTTTAATGCTATTGAACATCATAGAACAGAACCAACTTGTTTAATTGAAACAGCTGTTAAGATTCATTAATTCCATTTCTCATAAGGTTAACATGGGAAACTCCAGAGCCACTGGGGCGGAGCCCTTTTAAGAACTTCGAAACGGGAAATAGTTTACGTCCGATTCGCATACCTACAGAATTTACACACCAAATTTCATAACGATCGGTGAAGTCGTTCCGGAGGAGTTTGCAGACAAACACTGTGACACGAGAATTTTATATATTAGATTATTCAGTAAAGTTTTGCTGACCCTGACATCTGCCTTCGTTCCCACAATGCGTGGTAGGGGCGATACCATGGATGATGTCCTTGATCAATGAATGGATAGGTGAGTATGCAAGCATTGAAGCTACTGTTCCTGTTCCTACAACGTGTGTTGGTTTGTTTATTTCAAGATGCACTAATGGGCTGGGAGAACAGTGCAGGAGAGCACCCCCTGCCAATCCTTTGATGTTTCATGAGTTTTCCGACTCCGGGCGGGAACAATCCGGACCTAAACAAACCATTTTGTACCACCTCACAGACCACGGACGTACTGTCGTCACGACGTGTATTGATACGAGCCCTTGATCAAGGACATCCGTGGTATCACCCTACATAAAAATTTTATCTCCAAATAAAATTACCAACAGTGCAGTTGTATACATTAAGAAAATCAATTTATGATATTTTAAGACAATGTACGTTGACTAAGCTACTGCATTTTCTCAGAACTGAACCAGCAAACTTCTAATTACCAAGCGGACCCTAAATGCATTTAGCTAAGTTTAGTCACAATTGGGAGTTAGAGGAACTCTTCCTTATTCTACACTTTATTAATAATCAATTTTCAAACCCACACTTAATTTAGGCTTAAATCAACCCAAAATTAATGTTAAAACATTTGAATTTAATAATAGATAATGTAGATGTGAATGAGAAAATTTTCTTATCCTAAAGTGTATCAAACTATTTACAGTTTATTTTTAAAATATTTTATGACTCAACAGCAATAACTGTGCGTCAGTTTGATCACATGATCCGTCACCATCAAGTGAACATTTCATCACAACGTCTTGAGAGGACAGATGAAGATGACACCTTGGTAATTGTATGAGATCTGTCATGTTAATGAACCTGGACTTATGCTCTATTACAGAGACAACTTGTTTTAGCATTTGAGGTTAATTTGCTCAAAGGATTTATTTTCTTGTATTTTTACTTTAAGAAACACAAGTGACAGCTTGTTTGTCAGGGGTATATGATGATGAATCTGAATGTAATACCTGAAAATTGCTCATCATAGCTATGTAGCTGAGAGATTATATTGCTCACTTGCTTATATTGCTATTTAGAAGGATTTTGTTTTGAGCCTGAACTAATTCAAATCCTTTGATGATCTTTTAATCCAAAACTGCCATAACATACACACCCTAGTGTGTTAGCACTGTAAAAATCTAATCAAATAATGAAAAAAAAAGAATAATGATGACTTGTCTTCTTTCTACTCCCCAAAGGAGTCCTATTTTTTAAATTAAATATTAGTGTTGTTATGTGACCTAATTTTTTTGTGTACACTGGTTAGACTAAACTCTTTACTTTACCAAAACCACTCCTTGAACTGTGTTAGCAACACACCTAAAATACTTGTTTTTTATTCGTCTACTTTCCAGTTCAAAATGAACAACATTAAGTGCTAGTAAACTATGTAATCTTCATTTGAAAGTCCTTGCCTGATTTAAAATTTATATTTACAGTACCGGCCGATGGTAGGGTATGTGATTTGTTTAATCTTCACATTAAAATTCAAACATATTTAAAGGAATGTAAATAAGGTAACTTAGCTTTACAAAACAACCAAAACCGCTTCCACATCACTGTTTTGAGTTTCAGCAATAAGTCAAAAATTTATGTGCTCTAAACAGTGTATATTTCTTTTCATCAAATAAATAATCCAACGACTCTAATCACAAATAAGGAAAAGTTACGATTCTATAAGTGTATTTACTAAGAGGCCCTTGACCCTATATTCAGTTATCAACATTTTAAGTACGACTGGTAGTGTGTGATTAATATTTGATGACTTATCTGATACCGTACTAATCTGCTGTGTTTAATGCTGATATAAATATATCTTTATTCAAAATTCAACCTTTGTGGAAAATAAAAACAAGACTTATTTTCCAAAACTAATAAACCTGTATGGCAGATTTTTAATGCCATTCACTAAGCTATAACAGTTTCTTTAACAGTCCATTGCAAGATTGTCCAAACATCAATAGTCTTGTTGATAGAAACTCATGAAAATGTTTTTTGTATAATAAGCCTTAAGGGTAATTATTAAGAAAGTGGTACAGTATAGCATTTGCAAAAATGGGATGATATTGGTCTGTGTCATATTGTGAAAATCTTTCTACTACCTATATTAATATGTGAGGTATCCAAGTTTTGTAAAGTCTACTAATCTAAGAGAAATGATTCACCCTTGCTTTTTCATCTCGGTGTGACGAAAGAAGTGATTGTGCTCACCAAAAATTCAACCAAACACAGTGTTAAAATATAAATAATCTAATGCAATAGTTATTTGTGTAACTAGTGGTGAAAGTGGCACTTTGCTGCACACGAGAGCAATGTTTACTCGCCTGCGGCTCGTGCGGAATGATCTCGAGTGCAGCAAAGGCCTTTTTCACTCGTGTTACACATTATATTTTTCCTACAGTCACTATAAAGCATATAAATAATTAGTCTTTCAAACACTATAAAACACGTTTTTAGTTTCATCTGGCAACACAAATAGGTGCCCTAGAGAAAGTAGTACCCGCGGTCTGTATCACTCCGCTATTTTTCCTCGGCAAGAAATGTGCTCCGTGTTTTGAGAATATAGTTCCGTATGTTTTTGTAATTTGAAGTGGTTTCCACGCCTAAAAAAATGCGTTAAAGGTATTTTCTTGTTTATTAAGATCGTAGGAATGGTTTAAAAACGTTTAAATGAAAAGTCCAGAAAGTTCAGAAATACCTAAACTATAAACACGAAATGACAGGTTAAATCGTAGTTATAATAGTCAATCAGCTGCTCATAGTATTATTATCTTTAAGTGTTGCCAACCTATTTCCAAGCGTACACGGATTACGTGCATAATAGAACCACACTGTTTTGTGTTGTTTCGTTGGAATCCTGATGTGCGGCAAAGTATAAACCGTACGGCAAAGTATAAATATGCAGCAATTAGCAGCTTTCTGTACTATAAACAGTACAAGGAAGCCAACTTTGTCGAGTGACTGTAGGAAAAATATTTATTTAACTGATTAAACAATATTTCCTAACTGATAGAGTCTAGTTGATTCTTTCCTCAAATAATCTGACAGTACAAAGATATCTCTGTCAATATTTATTTGGTGGGTTCACAAGATAAAATGGGTAATTGGAAACTATACTTGACTTGTGTCTTGTATAGTCAAAGTATTTTGATAGTTTAGATTGCTATATGAACTGATATATTGTTTTTAACAATATAAAATACACTAACAATAGTATGATATTGATGAGGTTAAACTACCAGATAATCTTGCATTGAAGATTTAAATTAAGAAAAATCACTAATACTTACTAACATATTGTGCTTTAATGCCAGCATACTGTACCATCCAGCTATTCCATAGTGATTTGAACCTAAAAATCAGAATAAAATTATAAGAATAAGATAATTGACAAAAGCTAACTTTTGTAAACTGATACTAAATTTGTATAATCTTAATTTCTGTTATAACTGACCTTGCTCAAGAGTAATTGTCTAAACATAGAAATTGAAACTCTAAAATTTGGCATTTGCTAGATACAGGTATTACAACACATATGCTATTTTACAACTATTTATATAGCTATAGTTACATTCCATCCACTATAAATTAGGGTTCTATGTAGGTCTAAGAAAAGACGAATATATTATGTGAGCAACAAGATGCAAAATCTATTTAAATTTGGAACTAAACTCTTTAAATAGCAATTTGAAAATGCCAAAGGTAAATATTTTACCTTTAGCAACAACCCAACCCACGCCACACTCTTTTGCCTTGTTTATTGCAACCTCCATGCAGAAGTTTCCAACCACTGGTCCAAGAGCGTTGTTCCCATCCACCCAAGCTGTAGCAGACGACTCATTCAGGATAGTGGGAACAGCTGATCCATCACAAGTCTTGAGCTTTACATCTCGCACATACATCTCTGTAACAATGAATTGATCAAAAGTTTCCAATCTCTGGTCCAAGACCGTTGTTCCCAAGCTGTAGAAGACGACTCATTCAGGATAGTATAGGAACAGCTGATCCATCACAAGTCTTGAGCTTTACATCTCGCACATACATCTCTGTAACAATGAATTGATCTAAAGTTTCCAATCACTGGTCCAAGACCTATGTTCCCAAGCTGTAGAAGACGACTCATTCAGGATAGTAGGAACAGCTGACCCATCACATGTCTTGAGCTTTACATCTCGCACATACATCTCTGTAACAATGAATTGATCTAAAGTTTCCAATCTCTGGTTCAAGACCGTTGTTCCCATCCACCCAAGCTGTAGCAGACGACTCATTCAGGATAGTAGGAACAGCTGATCCATCACACGTCTTGAGCTTTACATCTCGCACATACATCTCTGTAACAATGAATTGATCTAAAGTTTCCAATCTCTGGTTCAAGACCGTTGTTCCCATCCACCCAAGCTGTAGCAGACGACTCATTCAGGATAGTAGGAACAGCTGATCCATCACACGTCTTGAGCTTTACATCTCGCACATACATCTCTGTAACAATGAATTGATCTAAAGTTTCCAATCTCTGGTTCAAGACCGTTGTTCCCAAGCTGTAGAAGACGACTCATTCAGGATAGTAGGAACAGCTGACCCATCACATGTCTTGAGCTTTACATCTCGCACATACATCTCTGTAACAATGAATTGATCAACAATTTCTAATCACTGGTCCAAGACCGATATTCCCAAGCTGTAGCAGACGACTCATTCAGGATAGAAGGAACAGCTGACCCATCACATGTCTTGAGCTTTACATCTCGCACATACATCTCTGTAACAATGAATTGATCAACAATTTCCAATCACTGGTCCAAGACCGTTGTTCCCAAGCTGTAGCAGACGACTCATTCAGGATAGAAGGAACAGCTGACCCATCACATGTCTTGAGCTTTACATCTCGCACATACATCTCTGTAACAATGAATTGATCAACAATTTCCAACCTGTACATACAATGTACATTTTGTGTAAAAAAATATTATTCTCCATCCAGTGTATTGGTTGTTCTAATGTTCTCTTAAGCAAAGTCTGGTTTGTAACTTAAGAAGGCGTTAGCCTCCAAGAAACAACATTAGTAACAGTAAAAATTACGGACATAAAGTTTATTGGCGAACTAAGGAAGGAAATTAAAAATGGCCATTATAGGTCCTTAATATTAAACATACACAAGAAGTAAGAAGCTAAATACCTTTAGGAAAAGTTAACCGCAACTAAGGAGAAGGGGAGTAAACATATGAAGTACCAGCTTAGTTCTAAGAGGGAGAGGGAGTTCATTGGTTACGTTTAATGCAGCTGTCAGAAACATGAATACTTTTTTCTTAGTGTTTAATCAGATTTAAAACAATTCTAGATTAATAAACAGACATAAAATTTTAAATTCTCAATCACATTGTTACCGATTAATCAAAGATTAGTATTTTTTTAATTTCCAAATAGCAAGGAAAATGTAAATAGAGATGTAAAATAACAGACATTCCTAAATTCTGGAATAAGGTTGAACATTTCTATTGAATTTCGAATGCACCAAAGTAATCAAAAAAGAATCATTGATGATAGCCATAAAACCAAGCCGATGAGTAACGTCCAATCAGAAATCGGTTACAAGACAGTTAGTGGGCATGGGACATAACAACACATCAATGTTTATTGCCTCCCATGACGCAACTCTATGTTTGACATGCTCCAGATAGATTCTGCTATCTTTAATGTAAGTAAGTTGAGTGACAAACAGACAAATTTTACTATCTTATCAGATTGTAATTCTCAGTTGACTTTACTGTGTTCTATTGCAACTGGAGGAAACTAGACCAAATTTTAACTCAGTTAATAATGTTTCATCATTTTTTTTATCATCATACTCCATACTCCAACCAACTCTCTTCCCATCAATGGTGTTTCCCACCAATCTTAATTCTTTTTTGGTTGCACTGATACGGGTATTTTATTTAATCTCTCTGGAATTTACAAACAATTCTCTCCACTGTTCCTTTTACGATACCCTACAAATTTTCCTATTGTATAAGGAATTTTCAATCCTTAAATAAAAAAAAAAATAATTAAAATAAAGGGGGTTGTTCAAAAGAAATATATAATTTCCTTGTGTTTAAGTTTAGCAGTGCTTGCATTTACATCCAAGGGGATCAGTTAGATTGATTATAGATTAAGTGTATATTTACATTACAGATTACATTATTATCAAAGTAAAATACAATAAAGTGTACGGTAGGCCTACAGGAAAAACTATGCGTTAAAGGCCATATTATTTTGTAAAATGTTTAGTTACAGTAAAAATAAATTGTTTTGATCTCAGATCTCTGGACCAAATTAATTACAGTATACCAATTTAATTTTGAGTTGTTAAGAAATATTAAGATTTACCAATTAAATGCTCCTCTAGGGTTAATAAGTTGAACAAAGAGATGATAAAACTGATTATAATTTTTAGAGCTTATCATCTATTAACCAGCTTATTCTTCTATACAGTATAAATTAATAAGAGTGATAATTAAAATTTACCTATAATTTGACATTTGCATGGACATAGATCCAAATGAAAAAATATGAAACTTTAACACATTTTAATTTTTTTTATCAACGTGCGAGGAACTAAAAAAATCTATAATTTCAAATAAGATTGTTTTGGGACTCTATAAAAAAATTAATACTAGGCTAATATTAGTTTAATATAAAGATATATACGATAAAGATATAAGTTTAATATACGAGATAGCAATATTTGCAGTAAGCAATTTCAAACAATTTTGTATCATCAGATAAAACAAAAGTAAGATATGATTTTGCTGTGTGAGCAAAGATAGTTGAGCCAGAATAACTGAAGGTCAGACTTAAGAGGAATATAGATTTTAGTATATACAATCTCAAAATAAAGAGTGGCTACTCTTTTATTCTGTGATAATACAATACACTGCTGTAACCAGCTGTTTTGGAGTGAATCTTTAAGGTTGAATTTGAAATGATATAATTAAAAAATATCTAAAAAGAACAATAAAACAAGTCATAAAAGGCAATGACTGTGATTAATCATGTGGGTCAGTATAGTCTCAACAAGAATCACAGAAACAACAAATCCTAATTATAAAAAATTCTAAATTTAAACAAATGTCTATGTTGGTTGTAAATATTAACTCTAGGAAAGGTTACAAAATATAAATTATTTTTAAATCAGTGCTGTTTAGTACAAATCAATCTTAGGGAAACAAACTGTTGTATTAAGTCTGTTCTTTTTATCATATGATTTATTTGTGTTTAAATATGTTTTGTTGTCAGATGATTTTTGTAAACATGTTTTTGTAAACATTGGTTTAGTTTGGAAATAGAGATTGTTGAAGCAAGATGTGTGAATAATATTCTTGTAAAAGAAATAGAACACAAACCATTAAAATTTAAATTGGAATGGCCATAACTATTTTTATTTTGTGGGAAATACAAAAAGAAACATTTTGAATCCTTGGCCAGTTTGTAAATCTACACAGCACAGATAAAATGTCTTCATACACAACATGACTATTGAAATTATTTACAACATGTGACGTTTAGTAAATGATAATCATGAAACTTATCTAATTATTTAAGAGGTCCTTCTTAAATAATTAGATATCAAACGTCTTATAATCTCTCTTTCTCAGTTAAAGATTCTTTTGAAGGGCGTAAGTAGGTACTGTACAAGTCTTGCAAGCAACTAACTTAGGAGGCCTGATGCCTAAAAATGTAAAATTACAAATTATAAAAAAAAAAATTCAGTAGGCAACAATAAATAAATAAAATAATAAATAAATATCCATTTAAGAATTATATTAGCAGTAGGGCCAAAAATTAATTGTTGAACTGGAGATCTGGGTAAACATCTCAAAATTATCACAAGTAAAACTGAAGATTATGTAATCCATCAGTTGCTCTAGCGAAACACTATCATATCACAAATCTACAAGATTATGATGTTAACTTGATAGACAAATCTAAAGAACGAAATGAGCGAAAAATATTATTAATTCAAAACTCTACAATAAGGAAAACAAAAAGCAAAATACTTTGAAAGTAAACAATGATATAACCTTAAAATATTTTACCTACCTAGTCTGTTAAGACCATGACTGTAATGTCCTCTATTATCTGCTTCTACAAGAACATCAGCTAAAGCTGTGGCGTTTGCTTGAGGTGTCCCCACAGCCGTCATACAATCCACACAAAACCGGCGAACTTCAGCTAAAGCAACTCGCGCCATAGTTGCGTCTTTGACAGCTGGCAGACGACAATAGCGTTAGCGTAGTTTAGCAGAAGCGAATTCAATGTCAAACAGTTGTTGGAGGGGGGCGTCAGCTGATTGGAAGTTGCCAAGTCACATGACTAACCTTCAACTTGTTTACCCAGTGCTACCAACCGGCACGCAATTAAGTAATCAATAAACATGAGAAAGGGTGGATTGTAGAAGGGATCAGTATTTTGGGGAGTTTTAAATATTGTGAATAACTGTTTTTATTATATTATAATCTTTTAAACGATAGTCAATGTATACATACATTGTTTGTAGTTATTATTTTGTCACCGCTATTAAATACATAATAATTTATAAATAAAAAACTTTTTTAAATCAAAACGTTTTTAAACGCACTAAAAAGTAGAAAATAATTTATAAATATGTGGAAGGTATAAATACTTGTAAGATTAAAAACGAAAAACTTGGGGTGCATGCAATTGATGATTATACATTAGTTCAAATAGGTGAAGGTAATTGTAAATTATCTATTGCATGCACCCCACGTTTTTCGTTTTAAATCTTACAAGTATTTATACCCTCCACATATTTATAAATTATTTTCTACTTTTTAGTGCGTTTAAAAACGTTTTGATCTAAAAAAGTTTTTTTATTTATAAATTATTTTCTACTTTTTAGTTTTTAATGTGTTTGGATGTTAAATCTATTTCAAGCATCTATATGAGATTAAGACAGAGGCATGAGGGAAATCTAAGGTTTATTTGAGTTTATTTTCGTATAATTATGTATTAGATTGAATGTATGGCCTACCATGTATTTTGAATGTATTTTTTAAAGTGTATTTTATGCAAGAAGTTTGTAAATATTAGTTTTTAAATAAGGTGTAAATAGTATGATAATATGCCACTGACGTAGTCTATCCGACATTGTCGGTCAAGGATTAAGGACATAAGTATCAAGTAAGTAAGTACCTACTAACTATAAATATATCAATCTATTTAATTTATTGTTTATTTATAGAATACTAAATAAATAAAAATTGACATTATTAGCAAACACCTTTATATCTGCAATCAGATTGTTTATCTTCATTTGGAATGTTTGTTTGTATAAAGAATCTCTTGGGAGCATAACCTGTACCTCTTAACCTCTGTTCTTCGAACTGTCAAATTTTAGTATTTACAGCTGACTTAAATTTGTTGATATATTTACAATCTTTCAAAATGTAAACAAGAAAAATTTGGAAGCCCATGGGGCGTAGCCCAAGGGAAATATGAAAATTAAATGATATAATATTGCATTGTCATCCACTTGTGAGATATATTTCAAATTTCAAGTCTCTAGCTCATCGGGAACTTCGTTTAAAAATGAAATCAAAATTTGTAGGAAAGCTAGCTAACAAAAACAAGCCCATGGGGCGTAACCCAAGGGAAATATGAAAATTAAATGATATAATATTGCATTGTCATCCATTTGTGAGCTATGTTTCAAGTTTCAAGTCTCTAGCTCTTTGGGAAGTATCAAAATTTGCAAGAAAGCGAATTAATAAAAACAAGCCCATGGGGCGTAGCCCAAAGGAAATATGAAAATTAAATGATATAATATTGCATTGTCATCCATTTGTGAGCTATGTTTCAAGTTTCAAGTTTCTAGCTCTTTGGGAAGTATCAAAATTTGCAAGAAAGCGAATTAATAAAAACAAGCCCATGGGGCGTAGCCCAAGGGAAATATGAAAATTAAATGATCTAGTATTGCATTGTCTTCCATTTGTGAGCTATGTTTCAAGTTTCAAGTCTCTAGCTCATCGGGAAGTTAGTATAAAATTGATTGCAAAATTTGTACCGGACAAGAAAGCGAGCTAATAAAAACGTTTTATAAATTATCACCATGACACAAGAAAGGGTGTATGCTAATGCAGTGAAAGGGGTGTAATTCAATATTTTAAAACGTTTTTATTAGCTCGCTTTCTTGTCCGGTACAAATTTTGCAATCAATTTTATACTAACTTCCCGATGAGCTAGAGACTTGAAACTTGAAACATAGCTCACAAATGGAAGACAATGCAATACTAGATCATTTAATTTTCATATTTCCCTTGGGCTACGCCCCATGGGCTTGTTTTTATTAATTCGCTTTCTTGCAAATTTTGATACTTCCCAAAGAGCTAGAGACTTGAAACCTGAAACATAGCTCACAAATGGATGACAATGCAATATTATATCATTTAATTTTCATATTTCCCTTGGGCTACGCCCCATGGGCTTGTTTTTGTTAGCTAGCTTTCCTACAAATTTTGATTTCATTTTTAAACGAAGTTCCCGATGAGCTAGAGACTTGAAATTTGAAATATAGCTCACAAGTGGATGACAATGCAATATTATATCATTTAATTTTCATATTTCCCTTGGGCTACGCCCCATGGGCTTCCAAATTTTTCTTGTTTACATTTTGAAAGATTGTAAATATATCAACAAATTTAAGTCAGCTGTAAATACTAAAATTTGACAGTTCGAAGAACAGAGGTTAAGAGGTACAGGTTATGCTCCCAAGAGATTCTTTATACAAACAAACATTCCAAATGAAGATAAACAATCTGATTGCAGATATAAAGGTGTTTGCTAATAATGTCAATTTTTATTTATTTAGTATTCTATAAATAAACAATAAATTAAATAGATTGATATATTTATAGTTAGTAGGTACTTACTTACTTGATACTTATGTCCTTAATCCTTGACCGACAATGTCGGATAGACTACGTCAGTGGCATATTATCATACTATTTACACCTTATTTAAAAACTAATATTTACAAACTTCTTGCATAAAATACACTTTAAAAAATACATTCAAAATACATGGTAGGCCATACATTCAATCTAATACATAATTATACGAAAATAAACTCAAATAAACCTTAGATTTCCCACATGCCTCTGTCTTAATCTCATATAGATGCTTGAAATAGATTTAACATCCAAACACATTAAAAACTAAAAAGTAGAAAATAATTTATAAATAAAAAAACTTTTTTAGATCAAAACGTTTTTAAACGCACTAAAAAGTAGAAAATAATTTATAAATATGTGGAAGGTATAAATACTTGTAAGATTTAAAACGAAAAACGTGGGGTGCATGCAATAGATAATTTACAATTACCTTCACCTATTTGAACAAATGTATAATCATCAATTGCATGCACCCCAAGTTTTTCGTTTTTAATCTTACAAGTATTTATACCTTCCACATATTTATAAATTATTTTCTACTTTTTAGTGCGTTTAAAAACGTTTTGATCTAAAATAGTTTTTTTTTTATAAATTATTTGGGTGTTTAAAATTATTAATAATATTTTTGAATGATAGTCAATACGATCACTGTATATAGCTGAATTAGTTAATGTCAGTATGTGTTGTTAAAGTGATGAATCACTATGTGTTCTTGGGTCAACGATCAATGTAGTCAGTTAGTTTGTAAGGAAACGAGGGTCCTTCAAGACTTTGAAACTAGTGGGTATAACACACAAAACTATTTTATAAAAAGTTTTATTTGAACTTACATTTTAAATTAAACACAAGCAACTTACAATTAATGAATATTTACAATTATTACACATGTATTCCATCTTTATTAATGACACACAGCGAATAATAGGTTTTATGTTTTTTTTTATTTTACTTATTCTAGGACAAGGTATTTTCATAAAAATCTATCTTTTTGTGACCTTAATTCCGGATTTTAATATAATTCAACAAATTACTAAACATATTTTTAGTAACAATAATACACCCACAAAAGACACATTGAACTACAAATTACTAAAAATTAGAGCACTCAAATAAAAATTAACATACCTATACACAGTGGCGTTGCTTGGTTAAATTCCAGGGGGGGGGGAGAAGCCTCAAATTTCCCAACTCCTTAACATAGATTTCCCAACTATTTTTTATTTCAAGGAATAAATTTCTGTACTATTTAAAAAAATCTACAAATTATTATACTAAACTGCAGTCACACTCAATTTAGTATTTATTAACTTGTATTAACAAAACATAGCTAGTTTTACATATATACAAAATTACTCAATTCAAAAAACGTCCAAAACTTCTACCAATTCATAATGAAATTTGATGACTTCAAAAAACTTGAATAAGTATCGTTTCAAATCCAAAAAACTTTACAAACCATTGTGGTAGCAGACGTAGCAGTGTAAAATTTTAGGGATATAAAATAAGCCTAGTACAAATTAGTATAGGCAAAAATATTTTATTACAAAATAATGAAATTAAAATACTTTTAGAAGCTGATATTAAGATCAACATGTTAACTTTCATAAAACTTACAACTAGGCCTAAACAAGTTTTTAATGATGAAATAATAATATTAATGTTGTGAATAATATTATTCTAGTCTAGAAAAGAATAAACCTAAAATAAGACTCGTATAAAATAAAAACGTTCAAATTAATTAACAATAAACATATACATACAATAAAAAATTTTAACCTTCATCGGCTTCATCAAACTAGAAAAATCAAACTTAGACGTGAAGTCAAACATAAAATTTTAGGTTATGTTTTGTCCACGTAGATCTGTTTCAGAGTGATTAGTTGATTCATTTTTGTAAATTCTTAATTAGGAATGATAAATAACTTTAGTAGATTTTTTAAATATATTAAGAAAATAAATATTTCATTTAGGTTATTGAAAAATAAGAGTTTTAAAGGTAATACCGATACACTAACCCTATCTTCAATGTTATTTTAATCTACGTATTAGCAAGTATATTGGAGTCAGTTAGCCTGCTCCAAATACTACAAAAAAGGTATAAAATATAGTTTATGTGACTGACATGAAAAATATTTTTGAATTTCTTGTAAACACTAACAAACAACATAATTTAACGGAAGAGCTACATCACTTGCATTTTCAAAATTCAAACTCGCAGTCTCATTCAGAATCATCAACACAGGGCAGGATCAAGGTAGCCAACATACGTCCAATAAGGAACAACATAATTTCGTAAACGAAATTACAACAAACTATACTGCTAATTGATTATTGATTTCTTAGAATAAGTTGTGTTTAGCCATGGTTTAGCCTAGTTTAATCAAAGTTAAATGAAATCAAAGAAACATCAAGTTTATTCGTCCAAGTCAAACAACATTTTTATCTTTGATGGATTTTCGCAAATATTTAAATTTTATTTAGTTTAAAAATATATTTTTTTGTATCTCTGACTTCCAAACTGTCCCAACTTGTGACAAGGAAATTCCCAACTTTTCACTTTCCCAGATTCTGGGGGGGGGGGAGGTTCATATTTAACACAATGATATCACAAATGATTTTTCCGATTCTTTCATTGGAACTTTACACGTTGGAAATTTTACATTGGACAGTATATTACAATTTAGTTCTCCTGTGAAATGCAATTAAACTGATGAGGTATATGTTTTGTACCTTTTCATAATCATTGTTTTACTGGAAATAAACGCATTACAAGCTGAAGTTTAGAGCTTTTTAATTTAACAATAGAACAAGAATGGTTGATTTTAATAAGGAATATTTGCACACCAGGAGAAAATCAGCCTACGTTAAACACTCATGAAAAAAAAATCAAATAGAACTCCTTCTTTATTGAGGCAAACTTAGGACATCACGGTCTTTTCTTACAGTTAACAATTAAAAACGAACAATGCAGTAATAATAAAACATTAACACAATAAAACAACAAAGTTGACAATAAACAAATAGGTCTAATAAAATAACATATGCTTTAAAATTAGCAGATTAACTCTATGAAACTCATTCAAAACGGGACAATGAAGTCCATTAAAAGACTTTAAAAGCAAAGTATAAGTTGTAAAAATATTGTTTTCACTAAAGTTTTCCTACATATACAAACCAAACCAAGGAAAGGCTTACGGTTTGGATGATCGTGTATTTTAGCATATAAATGATAGTAAATAAATGATAATGGTAATATAAATGATAAGATGATTTAAGTTACTATTTTAAAGCTCTTGTGCATCACAAATTACAGAAGTGCAATATACTTAAGGCACTTTTTCACAATCCTATGCTTAATTATTACACTTATCAAATGAATTGTACGTGTATTTAAGGCAATTTTCCATTTTTGTTGGCTGTTTATTTTGTCAGTTTTTATATCTATTAGTTATTATAAAATTGATATGGCAAAATAAATTGACAACCTCAAATTTTTAGCACTTACAATAGGCCTATTACAAGAACAGATACGTTAATTCTAACTTATTTTCTCCCTGTGATACTAGCATAAACATTAGAAAACAGTTGATATATCCAGGGATTTTATAGATAAAATAAATGCATGAATGAACTAACTTATGACCTTAAATGGTAGGAGACCTATTATTTTTGTTTTCTAGATGCGTTTACCTGCAGATTAAGATGGGTTTCGAACCTTCGGGTTATACGATTATTACATAGCCAAGTTATTATTTGCGATTGGCAACATTTGAACCAGGGCCAACGAGATTTTCTTGTCATGACCTTTGACTACCAGATCAACTTTGGAATACCAGCCATAAAGATTTTAGAATTACTAGATATACTTGTCTATTTCCTACGTTTTAAGCTCTGCAAGGGAATGATAAATTTTTACTATGCTGAGCAATGTTTAATAATTAAACTAGCAATATCAAACCACTTAAAACCCCCCAAGAAGTTAGGTAAATTGTCTTCTAAAGTGCGTTTTCAAAACACAACCACTTTGTAGAACATTTTTTGTACTTAAATAACAAAAAATATCAACAGCAAAATATTTTAAATGGCCATCTGATGTCCATCGAAGCATTTTTTCCTTCCAACTTTGTTCTTTGATTATTTCAAATACCTTTAATTTCTTTGAGCACTGTTTACAATACATTTTACATATATTTCGATTATTTCGAACATATTTTTGCAACACACTTTTCACTACCCCCAAATCAAATGTCCTCATCAGCGTAGATCATATATACGTTAGCTGGTCCATGTATATAGTACAGACTTGATTACTCTGTGTCTCTAGCCTCGTGGCGGCCTCGTAGGTTGGTAGCCCTGAGTCATCCTTTTTCTGTTGCGTCATCACAGCCTGGTACGAGGGTGGGGGTGAAGGTTGAGGCGTCGGCTCGTCTACGAACACACCTTCTATCTCATAACACTGCTGCTGTGGATAAAGGTTGACAGTAAATAAACAGTGATAAAAAATGTAGAGCTAATGAAAATTGGTGTGTGTTGCTAGTTTAAACTTATTAGGCTTAGGCGTGAGATGATCGTATTATAGGTTGATCCCTGTTATAATATCCTTTGAAAATCGAGGATTGGACTGCATACTTTCATTGAAAATTAAACAGGTGTAGACACCTAAAAGAAATTAAAAATAATTTGTGGTGATAGGATTAATGGGTGGACTACGTGAACAAAAAACCCCTGAGGAGAATGTTTTATCCATAAATAAACCCTGAGTTAATCAGTTATCCTATAGTATTCGCCAACAAAATATATTTAATTATGAATGAATATATAAAACAATAAAGCCATATACTTGTATTTTTAAAGAGTAGACTAGAAACTTAAAAAATCTAGAACCTTTCAATTTAAAGGAAGAATTCCTTTTATATACTTTTTTACTACTGGTACTTCCTTATTTATGATGAATCGATACCTAATCTACCAAAAGAGCATTGCAAACAGTGAGCATTTATTTTTCCCCGATGAATGCGGGTCAAAAGTGGTGATAGAAATTTGATTTTTTGGCATCAGAATTAGTACTGTATGTCGTAAAAACAGTAACTAGGCCTAATTAACTTAGGAACTCACTTCAGTGTGTATTAAATTATTCAGTATACACGTTAGTTAGAAATAAATGTTTTACTGGTGACTAACAAATAAAACTGGCCTCACTATTCATCATCAACTATCAACACTAACAGAATATACAAGGAACATTGCTGCAACTCACCTGTCCATCTAGTGTAAAAACTTGCATCATTGAGTCAGACTCTTCCGAGTTGTGTAGCCACTGCTCACTAGAGTCCGTCTGTAGCTCTGCCTTCTGGACTCTTTTGTGACAACAGTAGCAGATGCAGAACACCACCACCAGCATTCCTCCCATCATCACACTAAAACAATATAAATAAATGTCATAGACTACAACCTCAAATCAGATTTTTTTTACAATTAGTCTCAAACGAGACCGATCAACGACCAGCCAGTCAGTCTACAAAACATCGTAAACACCTTTCGATTGTCCAATACAATTTCTAAACTTCCTGTACCCCGTACGATCATGTACTGCGTCTATAATAGCTATCGTAACATATTCACGTCTGTAAACTGGGATGATCATCAACATCGGTTGCCACCTCCACAGAATAGTATATTTCGTACCTAGGGCCGAAAATGAGGTTTTGCCGGCTCGAGATAGTTTTTAAGTTCGAGACGAAGTCGATAACTTAAATCGATCGAGAGCTGCAAAACCATTTCGGTCCGAGGTACGAACGCTATTTTTCACCACACAATACCCTATTACCACTATTCACCACTATAATTATTATACTTAATGCATTATGCACACTGATAGTTAACACAACTACAACTTTAAGGTTATGTGAAGAAATAATTTGAGGAATCAGCAAAAATAAAAATAAATAGTTGCTAGGCAACGGTGACAATAACACAATTCTATTGCAATGCTATGGATTTTGATTGTGTATTTAAAATGCATTCATGTTTTAAGTAAGTAAGCGGACAGCTGATTGAGTAAGTAAGCGGACAGCTGATTGAGTAAGTAAGCGGACAGCTGATTTTGCGGCCCCGGGCTGTAAAAACCTGCTCGGTCCCCAAATTACGATGACAGCTGGCAAGGCCAGCAAAACTTAACTTTCAGCCACCAATTAACGTATATGTAATACAGCCATAAACATCATAGTGTGGTGAAAAAAACATTACAAAACGCGATTCATACTTAGGAGCGTAGATTTTCCTTCTCGTCGTTTTTGGCAACTATGTCAACACTAAAAACTTTTGCATAAGGATGGGAACCGGCAATAATAGCAGTAAAAGGAGTAAAAATCATAGCGCTGGTGTCACATTTGATGTGATGCGAGCTTATTGGCGACCTTACATTACTGATGAGTCCCAATTGTTTCAAAATGTAATGTGTTTAATTTTGTCTTTCATGTATCTTCCAACACACTAAGAAAACACCATCGACTCTTTAGTTATGAGTAATTTACACTTTAATTTGTACTTTTTTATAATTTTTTTTAGTTTAACAACTTAAAGATTGCGTTAGAATGTTCTGATTTGTTTAGCTTAAAAATAAATAGTCCTTATGATTAAAATTGGGACAAATTGCATGTATATAAATAAATAAAAAATGATTTTGCCAATGAATTCCAAGCAAATAAAGTTTGCCAAACTCATATTCAATTTTAGAAAATACAAAACTTGATAATTGTGTTAAATAAAGCTCTAAGTTGGTAATTTAGTTTTAATTCCATTTCCAAACCTTACTTTCCATGGGTAGTCTTCTGATAGTGTAACATAAACTACTTTCCCTATGTTGATTGAGATTTTTGTTGCATTGTCAAATTATTACATGGATACAGTATTTTCGCTATGCAACTTCTAAGGTCCTATATACTTGGATTTGTGAAAAGTGCTGTCAAATTTTCAAACTAATAGGCACATAGTACACTTTATACTTACAAAATATGTATTAAAATGTTTTCTCAACTACATTTGATAAATAAGTTTTAAATATAAAAAAATTAATTCGTTTCGAACGTATTTCCTCAAACGGCTTACAATTTGTCACAAGAACAATATCAAAACGACAGAAATATTGTTGTGGAGGGAACCGGAAGTAGATATCAGCTGAGTGGGAGTAAAACTCAGTCAGTCTCTGAACTTTGATATGTTTATGTCGTGAAGTGTTACAGTATAAGGAAATCAGGTAATCAACAGTTATACTCAATTCAAATAAATTTATCGCCTTGTTTTTGTCAATATGTTAAGTTATTTTCGTTTTGAGGATTACGCAATGTGTAAATGTTTTGTTTTTCTGGAGTTAAATGGCGTTGACCAATTTTGTTTGTTTTACTCGACCTTTTGGCAACAATTTAAGAAAAAGAATAAGAATATTTTTACTAGATTACTATGAGTTGAGCTGTTTCGTTATGTGCTTACAACCTGCGAAACATCATATTTTCAACAGCTGTCTATTATTTACTACCAAAAGTAACATTGTTTACAACAGAAAATTTTCCACTGTCAAAAACTTCAAATATTTGTTATTGTTTTATCAACAGTATCAATTTTCAACAACCAAAGTAAATATTAACTTTAAATTGAAGGCATAACATAAAAATTCTATGATTTTTGTAATGAAGAAAAGAATTATTCTTTGTAGTGTAGCTAAAAGTAACGTTCAAAACACGAGTGAAAGTGTGTCTATACATATTCTCGACCATTTAAAGTGTTCGATAGAAGTCCTAAATTGATATAATATTCTGATTCTGATAGGATATTATCTACTTCATTGTATAATTTCATCCGATTTAGTTGATTAGGTACCAAGCACATACTCATATAATATCAGTTTAGATTAGTCACTGCTATAATTAAAAATTTAATAATATAGTTAAATTATGTAGTTCCATCTAGTTCCTTTTATTTATCGTACTGCACTAAGTAGCCTAAGAGTTTTTCACCCCTTTCCTGTATCAAAATAAAGAGAAATCATGTTATTAAACTTTTCTTCCTTTAATCAATGGCGGTTGTGTTTGTCTATACTATTATAAAAAAGAGGTGGTGTCTGTGTGTATGGGAAAAGTAAACGCGAAAACTATTGGTCGGATCGGGCTGAAATTCGGCATGATGATAGCTCATATTCCCGATTAACATATAGGCATATTCTTATTTCAAAAATCCTTTCGGGCTCCGCCCCAGTGGCTCAAACTCGAAAAATACTGGTCGGATTGGGCTGAAATTTGGCATGATGATAGCTCACATTCCCGATTAACATATAGGCATATTCTTATTTCAAAAATCCTTTCGGGCTCCGCCCCAGTGGCTCTGGAGTTTCCCATGTTAACCTTATGAGAAATGAAATTATTGAATCTTAACAGATGTTTCAACTAAACAAGTTGGTTCTGTTCTGTGATGTTCAATAGCATTAAAGTTACAAGGATTACCAACAGGGTGCAGCACTAGCACTATTATTTCTTTTACATTTATGACAACAGCTAATTTGCAACCAAAAGGTGAGTGAGCGTAGCGAACGAACTTCAACCTGGAGGCGAGTGAGCGTAGCGAATAAATGCTCAAAATTTAAAACACGTTTTATTGTCAATCTAATTTAAAGTGTAATGAACCAAACCCAATGGCAGCTAGTCATCATTGGGCCGTGCGGTCAGGTATTTAACATGTTATTACACTCATTTGCATCTGAAATGTTTATCATTGGGTGAGTTTCGCGGGTAATTTACCTCTGACGTCATTAGGACATGTTAAACTGACCGATATCATGTTTGCTGACTGTAACACCCAACATACAACATCCAGCCTGTCTCGGTCACTCATTGTATGTTTTGTGGTAGGTATTTTGTTTAACATCAATAAATGTACCGCTCAAACATTAGCTTGGACAATTATATATTTTTAGATCAAATATAAGGACAAAGAAAGTTTTGTTAATATTTTACATTTAGCATTCCTGTAGAACTTATTTAATTTTTAATTGTTCACTTAATTTAAAACTTATTTGAAGTATAAATTAGTAAATTACCTACAAGAGTAACACTAAAAAGGTCTCTGTTATAGTGCATGAAACACAGAACTTATGTGAAAATACCAACTTCAATACTCATATATCCAAACAATATCTATTTTAATCAATACAGTTTTCTCACACTTGCACTGTTAATAATTCAAGTTATTATTCTTTTTCATGGTAGTTTTATTTTATTTAATTTTAATGGCCATTTAATTCTAATTACTAAGACATTTGACGATATCATTGAACAATACATCTAGTGTGGTAAAAATTTGAATAAATAAATATGTTTTTTAATGATCTAAAGCCCCAAAAATAATACAAAATCCATAAATATTTTTATGTATTTTTTATTGAAAACTGCAAACTTGGTTATATATTAAAAATTAATAAGGAATATTAAAAGTTTAAATTCATTCTTAAAATACGTGTACATAGTTAAAATGTGCATATTTTATTATTTTTTATTACATTTTCATATTTTACTTGATGATCTATTATTTTAACTTAATTTTAAAATAAAATTGATAGCATAAATTAAAATACTACGTGCAAGTAACGTATCTAAGCGCCTGCACATATGTCAACGTAGTTGGCAGTATTGCGATGCATCTCATGATGCTGTACTCAAACAGGCGTCTTTAAAATGAACTGTAGAAAAATCATTCATAATATGCACACAATTTAGAATTTCTCAATACAGAATACCAATAATGGTGGGGTTTATGAATAAATTGGCTAAACATATTTTACAAAAATGTAAAATTAAAATAATAATCGTGTACATAAAGGAATAGAGAGGAGACAAGAACATAATTTATGAAACAAAAATAAGTTAAAAAGCGCTAAAATATATTTTTTTTTAGATTCACGACAATCTTTCCTGTCAAAAAATGACACATTTATCCAGCAAAACATTAGGGCTCACGGATTTTAGATTTATTCGTGATGAATGATTTTCGTTGAAATTGAATAAGCAAAGTTGTCAACCTTCATAGACAAGTTGGATGGATGCCAAGTCTAACATATTACACTAATTTAGACCCGCACTGATTTACAATCGGATGCGTTTCTCGGCTTACTAATCAGCCGAAATGTGAACATGTTTAACTGACCGGTAAAACGTCATTGAATGGATATTTATCAGCTCAATATTAAGGTTTGAGGAAACACTTTTAAAGGGATTTTTGAATTGTAAACAGGTTTTTGTTTGTCACGCTTCTGAATGTTGTTATTTTGGCAATATTTAAAACCGTTGATTTCTAGGAAGGAGTACATGTATTTACAACTTGTATGGTTTACTAAACGCACGTTTTGATTGTTTGTTGTGTAAATACATTTTACAACCAAACAAAAATCATCTAATATTTTTATGACCTCTTATGATGCATAGACGGGACAGCTTAAATGTTCTTATGTCAACCATCGATGTTGAGTATATTGTTTTACAATTACTATCAATGGTATAATACGAAACATTTATATACTTTTTGTGGTTATGTTTTTGTGTATGTATTTTCTGCAATTTTTGTAAAAGAACTGTCAAACCCCTGATTTGTTTATTATCCATCGTTGACCTATTGTAAGATAGCATCATTGATATCGTAATGATAACGAAATACCCCCGCCGCAGCAAACCTGCCGACTAAGCGAATTTCCATTCGTCAGAATTGATTTTCAATTAAATCAATTTAAATAACATTATTTTCTAATGAGTAGGTTTAAAAGGAAACTAATAAAGTTTGTTTTTAGTAACATATCAATATCTTAGTTTAAAATAAATAAAATTGCCAAGTTTGTTCAAACTATATCCATAAACAAGCAAACTACAACATTTTACAATGTAAATTTTCGGTTTTTTGAATTTTCTCCGTTACCAATAACCGTACAAAAACAATTTTGTATACTAAATTATTTGTTTTTTATGTTCTTTATAAAAGTCTAGAGAGAAATTGGGAAATTTGGTATTTTGAGGATCAACAATGAGATGCACCAATTTTTACCCCATAATGCTGGTTCGTGATAATAGCTACTTCCCTATAGGAAAATTCGCTAAAACGACAACTAGACTCAGAATGAATTTATGGATTGAACTACTGTATTAAGTTAATGTATTGAAGACGAACACTACGACTAAACGGCCAAGCATTTAGTCAATATTATCATAAAAATTTACTTAAGAACACAATCAATATGTCTATAGTGTATATTGAAATAAAATACATCGTAAAAATATACTATTACATCTTAACCGGGTTGTAATTTACCTATTTTGTTAGTGTATACTGGAAAATAGTTAGATTTTTTTAATATGTATAAATAGGGTTATTAAATATCCGCATAATCGTGATTTTCGACAATTCCACATACTGATGTTTTAAAATTGTATTTAGTAAATGATATGTTTCAACATTAAAAACTGCTACAATGTATTATTTAAAACCATGTACACATTTAAACGGTTATTACAACACATTTTATTTTAACACAAATAGTGAACTAGCTCAAAGTTATAGGCCTATACCAATAATTGTTTGCAAACCACAAACATGTTCATTAACACCCTTATTATGTTTTTAAATTGTTCGATTGGAGTTTTATTTAGTCTCTTTGATAATTTATCAGTCGTGTAATTCAAGGGGATGTAATTAAAGGAAGTAATTTATTTTCACAAGTCAGGCATTAAGTTCAACCATCTGATTTTCCTTTCATTGATTTCATTGGAGTTAAATCGTTGGTGATTTTACATCCATGAGGATCTGTGAATGTATATTCATAGTACTGTATTTAGTTAACATAGATTTTATAAGATCCAAGATTAATTTCTAACTTCTACATTCTTATTGTGGTAGTTACCACAGTATTAAAATACACGGTATCAGCAATCTGACACATACTTTCTCCCAATAGCTTGGCAACAACCGTTACTAAGCCATGAAAGTAATTATGATATTTCATAGGTAAAATCACAAAAATTGCATTAACTTTAGAACCGTGAGTTTTACAGGAATGGGGAGGTGCACTATTTTGTTTAGAATTATAATTAAGGACAATAACAGACGAATTTCAATCAGAACAGTTTTTTTTGGAAAAACCCATTTTTACGTTTTTCATAGGTTTTTATTGGAAAATAAAATAACTTACAATAAATTTTGAACCATACTTTTTACAGTAATGAG